TTTAGTGAGACAGATAGAGTTAAACCATCTTTCCCAGTAGTCATCAAAAACTGTGTTTCAAAAGCAGGAACTTTGCAAACTTTTCTGAATACATGAAGAAGAGTCTGTCTTTCAGAGCTTAAATGTTCCTTTGCTATACATCACTTTCTTTGGGAAGGAAATAGAGGAATTGCATCATTTGTTAGATTGCATTGGAGAAAAAAAAAAAAAAAAAAAGTAACAGATGAATGTCAAAGCAATGCAGTAGTGGTGGTCTTCAGTTTATGAACATCCACATTATATCATTGCTAAAGTCAGTGTCAGAGAAATTGGGTCTTAACTGAAGACTGTTTTAAATCCAGAGGAAATACTCTTTGTAGCACATGTAAGAATGTAAAGTTTATCATGGCAGGAAGCCCTGCTGAAAGCTTACAGAAAAATAAAATATTTCTGTGCTACCAGACAACCACAAGAGACAAATTTTAAGTTGCAGGAATAGAATGTTTCCCAGAGCTTTGTGTAGCTATTAGAATTTCCATCCAAATATTTTTTTTTATTAGGATTTTAAAGTGCTCATGTTGTGTGCACTTCTAATTTAAGCAGAAATTGACACCTAGAATAATAAGACTTTGTCTATTAGTCAGAAGAACTGAAATGTTTTTTTATCATCAGTGTTAACATGACTAATTCCAGTTTAGCACTTTCTCTTAAATGGATGCTAAAGGGATGCAAGTTGCTAAAATTTTGCCAAGTTTAATTTTACTTAGGAGACTTGACAACTTGTATGTGTACACGGCTGAGATGATTGCCACCCCTTCTTGCTTCCCTCCTGCATATGCAGCCCTCAAAGAGAAAACAGACACAAACCACTTCAGAAGACAGAGGGAAATCTGTAACCCCAAACAACTTTCTCATAGTGCCACCACTGGATTCAGCCTTCAGTATTTCTTCCAAATTCCTCAACAAGTATTTTAAACAATAAGCTACCTTTTATCTGGTCTAACTACTAACTATGCTCACTAATGCTTAATGTGGGTCTTTACAATTCCAGCTGCATGCTCCACGCTGTATGTTTACAAAAAAGCAAGCCAAATCAAGCCATTGCTTAGACACCTGTATGCAACAGTGTCATTGGCATCGGTCTAGGACTGTGCGATCAGTGTCCCCTGTGGGGCTTGCCAGGATTACAAAGTCACAGTCTGAGATGGTGACTGCACACATGTAGCCAACAGAGACTTGACTGGCTTGGCAACAGTCGTAAATCACAGGCACTGTGTGGGGTTTATAGTACCAGAAGTTATATATGTGCACTCAAGCCAAGGGGCCAAGGGGCTTTCTTTTTTTTTTTTTTTTTTTTAAAGAATGAGGGCAGGCATTAGGACAACAAATTGGTCCCAAATCCAGGGGGAAACTCTGCAGATTCTGGCCAGGAGAATGAGAAGCAAAAAATCGGGCTAGGAGGGCCCTCTCTTTCTCCTCCCAATGATAAGTGCTGCTCCACAATGCCAACCAACCTTCTCTCCCAGCTCTGCCCCTATAGCAAAGTCTAACTACTAATGACTACCACGAATGTCCGTGTTCTGGTCTCACTACAGAGGTTAGGGTAGGCCATCTGGGCTCTTGTCAGTAGGCTCAACCAACAAACCCAGACTCATCAGAAGCTGGTTCTGCCCTGAGAATAAGAAAGAGCCTGCAGCACTCAGCTGCCAGCAAGTCCCTCTCAGAGTCCCTGTGAAAGGAAATCAAAAGACATTAAAAAAACTGAATGTGTGGTTTATTATATTTAAGATTCTATTTGTCTATAGGGTTTAAATATGTCTGTCACATAGTTAACAGTAAATTAATGTAATTTTACATGTTCAGTATTTTGATACACAGTACAGGACTACAAGTGTGGTAAAGGAGCATGGGAAATTACTATTTCCTTGATGCATGTATCAAATCCTGCAGCACCACTTAAAAGCTTGGACTACGGACTCAAGCTGCAGTATTACAAGCGCTACTAAATAAACCAAAAACATACCTATATTAAACATTAGAGAAACAAAACAAATGACACAAGGTTTTAATATTTAAGATTTGATACAGGATTAAAATACTAATATTTTTAATGTCCTGGTTTCAAATTAATAAATATAAAAACAATATAAAAATATACACCAGTTGATAAAAGGATGCACTGAGTAAGGTTAGAAAGCTAAATTTCACTTTCAAACGTATGCAGGTATGTCTTTAGGGAGAGGATTTCTGTGTAGCTGCGACTGGTCTTTCGGAAGAAGTCCAAGCTTGTGAGCTGTTCGATGTCGCGCACCCGTGCAGTGTGCATCTTAAGCAGATCTTCAACCCACTTTGATTCATCCTCCAAGCTCTGAAATGGGGGAGGGGGGGAAATTATAACATGCTATGCCAAAAAGCAACTCAAAGCAAGTGTAGCTCTTCTAAAAGTTAGGACCATTTGAACAATCTCTGAGCACTACTCAAGAACTAAGGTGAGATAAAGGTAAGGTTCCCTAAGATAAAGGAAGCTGAAGGTAAAATTTTGCCAAGTTTAATTTTACTTAGGAGACCTGACAACTTGTATGTGTAGAGGGTTCACAGAAAATAGGTTTGAAACTTTAGATGCAAGATAATTCCTACAGTTTTATTTCAGAACCCATTTCAGGATATAGGTTGAGACAGGGGCAAAAGTCATCTGTGAAAAGCTGGCTCAACATTGCAGGTGTTTCAAAAAAGCAGGCATGCTGCTCCTAGATGATCCACTGGTCATCATATAATTTTTATCTCACAGAAAGAGCTCCATATTCATCAGTCATTCCCTATTACCCAAATTCCAGACTGTTTATCTTTGAGCCCTCTCCCATACATTATCCTCATCACCTCATCTAACCTTCCACCTTATTGTTAGTAGACGATTACAAATTTCAATATTAGGGCTAAGGTTTATGCTGGTACGTGTAAAATATTGTTATTAAGACATACATATTATTCACTGATAGAACAAATACTTTGACGAAAAGTTGTCCCATATGAATAGAATCAGGAAGGTGTGATGTTCCCAGGGTCACCTCCAGCCCAACTCGGGCTGTGTGGATGCAATGTTTCTCAGGGGACAGGTCCAAGAGACAAAGGGCACCAACACAACAGCTCCAAAAGGGGCAAGTCCTGTCCTGCTTCCTATCACCCCCCTCTTCCTGGCTGCTTGTGCCTGTTGCTTTCCTTGTGCCAGCTCCGTGCTTGCTGGAGACATCCACAAGCTAATTTAACTCACTTTTTCATGAGAAAATCAGCCCTGCAAAACAGCGGAGTTATTGGCTGTTCGAGTGAGTTAAATCAGCTTAGTGACGTGTCCGAGGAGCACGATAGCCAGCACCAAGGACTGCAAGGCTGGGAACAGATGTGGGAAAAGCATAGAGCAAACAGGACTTTCCCCATTTTGGCCTCGCAGGCTGGCACCACTGCCAGGAAGCCTCACCTTAGGGGACAGAGATTTGCACTCAGGGAGTTCAAACACAGTGTATGCAAACCAGAAATCATACTGATAAAATTCCTTCATTTCTGTGCTTACTCCTGAATTAATCCCCTTTCGACTGTCTCAGTGAGGGCCTCCTGTGAAGGGGTCCTCTCACAGACAAAAGCTAAACTTCAATAACTCCAGAGACTACTCAAACCAGTGGAAGTGCCGCAGACCAGGCTGTGTGTCTCTCTATAAAGGCCAGGAAGGTGAGCGTGATCGCTTGCACAGAAAGGACAACTAGGTCACAGCCAGCTGCTCTAAAAGCATACATCCATGACCAGTCAGCACCCATCTGTTTTGATACAGGAAGCTTTTTAGCTCCAAAACCACTTTGCCTTTTCCTCTCCATGTCAATAGCAACCTGAGGCCCAAAACCAAGTCTGGAATATGAAATGAGAGATGCAAATTAAGATGGAAAAGAAGGGAACAAGCTCTGCTCCTTCCCCTCAGCCTGCCCATGCTCCAGGAACATGGCTTGGCAGCACACAGCCGCAGGAAATCCCTTGCTCAGCGTCCAGTCTGATGATCGGGTTGCTAGTCTGCAGATGGGTCTAAATGAGGTTACTATTGTAAATGTAATTACTGTGACATTTTCTTGTCTTCAAGTCTTCCTTCTAAACAGGAAATCTGCATTTTGCTCAGATGGACATCCCGTTGCTACAAAGCTCAGTTTTTAGACTACAAGGAGGACTCAAAAAAATTTGCTCAAGAACTAATATGAATAAATCACAGGACTGAGAGCTGGATTTTAAATCAAGTGCAGCAAGAGAACATTTGCATAACCCTAGAAAATCAGTTGCTTGATCTGTGTTTTAGTTTTTCCATTCCACAATTGACCTGTGAAAGCTCAGGTCCAGCATCAAGGTTTTTCAACACATTCATCAACTAACATGGTATTATATAACTGCAAAACTACTGATTAAGTGTATACATTTAAAATGATACTATTTTCTCCATCTGTGCCAATTAGTCTGACCTCAACAGCACTCAACAGTAAGACTTTTAGTCACTCTTAGAAGGAGAAAAACCAACAACTGAGGAGATGGAGCTAAACAGAAACAGGCAATAAAATAGGAGGCCAACGTAAAATTTCTTTGAAAAAATACCAGATATTCTAGACCAAAGAATTGCAGTAATATCCATCCCTGTGAAATCAGCAAAGCATATGTGACAAATTATTAGTTGGAAAGCTGAAGATGTGCAGAGTGTAGACAGGTGGATCAGGAAATGGCTTATTAAGAGAGGTATTTAAAGATTCTGCTGAAAGGGAAGACAGTGGCCTGGAGGAAGCTTCTAGCAGAGTTCCTCCAGCTCTAGTCTTGGAACTGATTTTATTTAATATTTTCACAAGCGCTCTTTGTGGCAAGGTCGTTAAGAGTGCTGGTAAAAAACAGTTGGGAGCTCCTGTCAACTCAGAGGAAGACTGGAATGTCATACTGGAAGATCCAGACGCCTTGAGGGTTGGAATCATCAGAACAGTTTGAAACTGGGTTATCCTCTTTGACGCTGAGAATTTCTGACAAGCTAGGAGCTCCTCAGGTGAAACAGCAGATAGAGGAGAAGGACCTGGGTGTGATTATTTATCGTAGGATGATTGTGAGCCACCATTATAATATGGCTGTGGAAAAAGCAAATCCTAGAAAGTATCAGTGGAAAGAATATCATTTTTATTTTGAGATCTCAGCTGGAATATTTTATCGCATTCATGTCCCAGAAGAAATTCAGGCTGGAACAAACGCATAGGAAGCTACTGAAATGCTCATCCTCACTTATAAAAGGAGCAAAAAAGATCCTGAGTCTCCTGTGAATAGAGAGAGGTATATACCTAGAGTATAATCATAAATCATCAGGAGGAGTAAAACCCAAAGAAGCCCAGTGAAGTCATAGAAAGCCATACAAAAATGTTGACACAAGAAGAAATGAGCATAACCTCACCATGAATAAACACAGTTTGGAAATGAGACAAATTCTAATGAGGAGAGTAGCAGTGTTCTCCAACGGCCGTATAAAGAGAGAGAAAGTGTGTGCAACAAGAGCCGAGGGGGAAAGCTAATATTTCTGCAGATCTTAAAAGAAAGCTGTGGAGAGGTTAAGGGAAAATTTTTATATTATCCCAAGCATTTCATCTATGAAGCATTTGAGGTTTTACACAGTCACTTCTTTGAACAAGCCAGATGCAATACCATGTGCAAGAGTAAGACCGACGCTGCACATGAGTGCCAAAATTTTGCCTATCTTTTGATTAAAGAGCTACATTCAAACATTTTTGGAGTGATTCTTTGCTATGTCAAGTATAGAGTAATATCCATTAATGACTGTGTAGTAGCACTAAAACTGCATACAGAACTGTAATACATATACCATATGTAGCACAACCTACACGGAAAAAAAACCCAGTCTGGAACGTAAAATCAAAGAGGAAAAATTCCATTATTCTGAGCATTTCCTGAAAAAGATTTCAGCAATTTAAGAGGACAATGACACCTACCAGTTAGAGCACAATGTAGGGAGACAAGAGGAGAAAAAAAAAAAAAAAGGAGGACTTTTGTCATAAAATCACATATGGGAAGAGATATGAAGGCACAGGCACTAACAACTGTCAGATTAGCAACTTCCAGATCAGCAACTGGACCTTGATTCAAAGATCCAGCAGGGAAGCCATCCAAAAAAAACACACGATGAAACATATGTAGGGTTTTCTGAATGTTCAGATAGAAGACATCTCTGCCCAAAGCAGTTTAAAGTCTAAACGGAGGAAGCCAGACCTCTTCAAGAGAGAGGTGGACTGCTCCAAAAGCTTGGTTTTTAAAAAGAGGGACCTGAAAGCAAGCGATGTTTGATGAATGAGAAAGAGACACTGTTCCAGGTGAATTGTGTACAGAGTCGGAATGACTATTTCTGCTTGTAGCTGGAACAGGAGCTTTAACTTTTTGTGCCAATACAAAATTCGTAACATTAATGTGCTCATTCAGGAAACAGACTCCTGGCAGCCTATAGTGACGAGTCTGTGTGCAGGAATCCACACAGCTGTGCAATGGGAGAACAAGTTCAGGCGGAAGGACAAGACGAAATACAGCTCCCTGTGATGACCGCTGTCCTAGCAGAGAGCAGTAACCCATGGGGACTGTACCAGCTCTCCTGCTGCATGACCAGCTACAGAACATTTGCGTTACTTTCTAAAGCTCTGAGCAAACCGAATCCTTCGTACTTCGCCAAGATCCTTACCCTATAAGATTTTTCATCTTAAAGGAATATGGAAATGGAACCAGGAGGGTTTCTGTTCATCTCTGGTAAAGAGAACCCAAACTTTCCGCTTGAATCAAGACATGTCCTGGAAACAGCAAAGTTTTAATACTGTGTGGGTTGGGTGTAATCATGCTGTTCAATGCACTCAGACTGCCACAGCAGACAGACACTGTAACAACTATATCCTACCTGCATATGGAAATAGACCTTGATAAACACCATCGGGCCTGCTGCCACCACAATACATCCTAGGCACAGAGCCTTTCCCCCAAGCCTGCTCTGAGGTTACACTGACAGAGTCTGGCAAAACATGGAAGCCCACAAGCTGCTTACTGTGCTGCCAACTTACTGCATGCCAGTTCTTCCAGATAATATTAATGCATGGTAATAGCTCTATATTTTCTCTGATAGCCGCATTTATCATGAGAGAGCACTCTTGCCTAATGAGCGGAACACGACACTTTTAGAGTCACGGCCTTGTGGTTTCATTCGAGATATTGGTGAGCCCTAGCATTTTCCCACTGCAATTGGGTTTCATGTATCCCATGGTCATATTCATCATGGGGCTAGAGCACTGCAGCAGAACCTCACTGAACTTACGTTGCAGCTCTCATCGTTGTCAGGCCGGTGGGGAAGTATGTAGGAGAGAACGGAGAGTGGTCCATCGCACTTGTCAGCAGGCTGAGTGAAGTCTAAGCAGCTGGTTATGATGCTGTAGTAATGAGTTGGAACAGGGATGGCACTGCCTTCCACAAACCTGCGGTGGAAAGGGAGATCACCACAGATAAAGCAAACATTTACCCACAGAGAATTAACCTCTTTGGAAGAAGAGGTTACAAAAACAATATGATCTTCCCTCCCCTACATGTGGGTACACATGTATGTTGTTGAGATGTGTTTGATTACTAAACTCGGTCTTAAAATGAGCATTCAGTTAGCTCATGTTTTGATACCGTGCCATAGAAATACCACATGCTGATTTCTAAAAGGCTTTTTCAGTTCAGGGATGTAGGCAGAAAGCACTACTGAATTAACAAAAGGCTTGAGTATCTAACTCATTAGCGCTATGGTATGCTGCGATATCCAGCTGCCTTCTCTTAAGCTCTAGAAAACATAAAGAGAAAAGAGATTATTTGAAACATAAACTACCTTCATCTTAAGGATGAATGAACACTTGATTTCAAAATCAAGGAGAAAAGTTACCTAGTGAATTGCCATTCCTGTATTTTTTCCACTGTCCTACGTATAAGGGTCTTGAAGAGAAATCTTTTTCAAGAGAGTCAGGAAATCCACATAGCATATCTAGTGGTTTTGTTGCTTTCAAAAGCCATGGTTCAAGTTAGTATTCTATATCTCTTCCCAAAAATTAATGTGAAAATATTGATTTGTTTAAGATAAAGGCATCATTAAGTGAAGTAGTACCAAAATCAATTTAAATATAAACTCTTACTGTTTTATTTTGTCAGGTGTATCATGTAAACCATCATAGTCATAGTCAAAGATTGGTCCACTTATAACATTGACTCCATTTCGTTCAGTGGCGTATCTCTTCACCAAAACTCTTTGGAAATAATTCCATACCTGGAGAGGGGAAAAAAAAAAAAAAAAAAAAAAAAAAGGGAGAGAGAGATCTGGATGAGTCAGAATGTGCCTAATTTATAAATAATCTTTTTCTGCATGAAGATAAAAATTCAGAGGACACCGTTAACCCTATCGTTGAGGATATCAAAGAGTAAGCATTACAGATTTACTGCAGCTTCATTCGGTTTTGGCCAATAAAGCCTATTTAGACTTCTTCTCTGTTCATTTTTTTTTTCCAGCCAGAGATAAAGGAAATGCACAGTACCATTCTAAGGCTGGCATTGCGATAGATACCACACAGAGAGCTGGCTGTTCCATCACAAAAAGTAGAAACAGCTATTCACACACAAATGCTTTTGATGTCCTTATAAACATTTCCTTTGTCTTTCTTATCTAGTTCCAGGGACTGATGCAATTTTTTTTTTTCCTTCTAAACAGGAAATAATACCATGATTAAAAGCAAAAGCCAACCGTTTTAAAAGAAAGGCAAGTACAAAGATCACTTTCTTTCAGTTAAGCTCTTCTTAGAAACAAAATGTCTAACTTTTAAATTAGGTGCAGCCTAGTATGACCAAATTATGGTATGGCATCTCAGTAGATGTCTTGCCTGGAGAGGAATTTTAACCACAACTTTTGGAAAGAGCAGGACACCATGCTACCACATTCTGCTCAGCCTTAACAAGCTGAGGGGTACAGAGACAGGATCTCTAGTTACATAATTTTTTGCCTTTTTTTTTTTTTTTTTAATATTAACAGAAGCTTGTCCAAACAAAGCATCTCAAACTTGTAGAAGTTTAACCTTTGTCAGGCCAGCTCAGACATAAATCCATGGTACACCAGCACTGACGGCAGTGCCAGTTTAAGCAGCTTCCTTGCACTCTCATCCCATCCTCTCTCCCTCCCTTCCTCAGTGCACTTTTTTTTTTTTCCTTAAGACTACTCAGTGCCATATGAGCTCACTGCTCAGGTTTATGAAGAGGGCCCCACAAGCAGTGGTCTAACAAGAACTGCAGCTGCAGTAACCAGTTGGCAGTCCCACTCCTCTGGCTGCTCACTCCACCAATGGATCAGCCTTAACAAAAATTAACCCCAAAAGAAAAGTATTTTTTCTAATTTTCCCACTGAAATGCAGTTTCTCATCTGCGTTCCCACCACAGCCACACAGACAGCAGTGTTGGTGCAACTGGGAACCAGCACAGGGGCAAGATCTTGCAGCTCCGAGAAAGTGGAACAGCTGAAGCCAGACTCGCTACTGAAAGGATGGATACAGAATTATTGCCTGAAGGAGACCGTTTAAAAAAAAAAAAAAAAGAAAAAAGCAGGAGAGAGGGCTTGAGCAGCCAGCACTGCCATCAAAACTAGCGCAGCATAAAACTGCCACCTCATATTCCCCTAGTTGTGAAAACTTCCATATAATGAACGTCCTTGGTTCTCTGCATTGCAACCTGCACACTAATGACTTTAGTTCCAGCAATGACTCTTAGGGAATCCTTCACTCACGTCTGATAAAGAGAAACACCAGGAGACAAAAAGAGCTGTATTTGGTTGGTTGCTCTCTGGTGATTAGCACCTCAGCTAATTTGATTAGATAAGCATTTGCATAAAAAGCATTTTTATAAACAGTGATTTCAGAGGGGGAAATCCCCAATAATTTTGCATGCTGTAATCAGTTAAGTCACTTTGCTCAAATTTCCAGCAAATATCACCACTTGTTCCTACTCAGAGGGTTTTGGTTAAAGACAAAAAAACAAAACAAAAAAACCCAAACACATAACTTTTTTTGGTTAAAAAGAAAAAGCCTCCCGTATGCTTTGATATATATCCAAACCTCCCTGGCCTAAGATCTGATTTGGAAATTTCACAAGAAGAGGCTCTTGAGATTCTTCCAAGGTTTCCCAGGTCCTGCCAAGCCAAAAATACCAATAGAAAAGCCTGATGGTTCTCCTACCTCTTGGCAAAGCTAGAGAAAAAAGGGATGTGCAGACAAAATAAATGTTAATACAATATTCACAGAGCACTGAAATTTTCAGCTGTTTTTAGATCATTCTTCATTTTTCCACAAATTGGTTTCCTCTTCCTTTTTCTTTATAGGTAATAAGCATGTTTAGTCCATCTCTAAGCGTATGGATAGAAAATTAAAACTAATCAAGTCACCACTTGACCCTGAACTACAACAACACAGGCCATGCGCACACTCCCAGGCTGCTCCAGTTGAAAAGTAAAACATGTTGCTCAAGCATATGCTGCACTAACTTGGGGTACAAACAAGAACATTTGAATTGTCTTGTGCAACCTGAATTAACGTGGCATGAAGCACAATTGCTGAGCTACAGTTACTGATCATGTCTGTACTCCTATCTCAGTCCAGCTCTGAGGAAAGTATTATTAGCTTAACTCCTCCTTGTGGTGGTTTGCCTGCCCATAGCTAAAACTACACAAGTTCCCACATGCGTTACCTGCTGGTTGCACCTAATTGAAATTTCTGTGCTAAACTTCTCCCATCGATACAAGAATTCCATACAAGAATTCCACTCAACAGGCGCATCGTTAAAAAAAATTACAAGAAGTTTGAGAAAGACAAGAAGCACCATGGAAACGGCACTTACTTTTGAAGGCAGGATACATCGGAATGACATTTGTTATTAGAAAGGCATCATATTTTGCTTCTGCAGAGGAACTTAATTCTGAAAACAATAAAACAGAAAAATATTAACAGATTGAAGTATCAAAAATTCAAGGAACATAAAAATGTTTTCAAAAAACAACTTTCAGCCATAATCAAAAGGAATACTCTCTTCTAAACAGAAATTTGAACTCTTTATTCAGAAGTACACATTATATGCGTAAAATTTATTCTTACTGTAATGTCACAGCTGGGTATGGATTGCAGGGATTTTGTCTTTGTTTCAACTGCCAACCATTTCAAAATATTTTTATAGTTCATCTATTTTTATAGTCTCAGAAGTCGGAGAGTTGCTCTACATGCTTTTGCAAAATAGACACGTACTTTCCAGGGAAAAGACTGCCAGAGGATCCTCTAGTTCTGAGCAAGCCTCCTCCACCAGTAATTCCATGTCACAGATCCACTCTTTGAAGTGTTTCAGCCACTGAGTGAGGAAGGCAGAGCAAAGCAGCTCGCAACCGTGAGACGCTCCAGTTGCGTCCTTTGAAAGCTTACTCATCCCAGAAGACCACAGCTACAGCTTGCTCCAAGACTGAACAAAGGTAACCAGCACTAGGAGAATTCAGGACGCTCATTTACATAGGTTTGCAACTAGTGTTGTTTTGATATTAGGACGTTTCTACAGTATGCAGCAGTCCAACACAGATTTATAAATTAGATGTATGTTTATCTTTCCGCTGTTTGAATTCAAAGTTAAAAACTTTGGCTAGATTCTCGGCTGGTATAAACTGACTTCCCATGCACTGACTTCAAAGAAGTAGTGTCAAACATTAGTAGCTAAGGATTTCTCCCTTCATCACTACTGCTGCGTACGCACTCCTGATTACAAACTACAGAGACCTCCGGCTTTGTGTCCTTATTCCACGCTTTGCAGATTTAAGAGTCCAGCAGGGAGCACTGTGATAAGCGATACAGTCTTGTGCATTGCCAGGGCCATCACCATGCTCCATCACCTTGGTCTGAGCTACAGCACACAGACTTGATTTAAAGATCAGCCTTTGGAAGGTCGCTGGCTGGGTTACCGTCGTTAGCGGTAATGTTACAGTCTTCGTCACTCTGTCTGCCTTCCACTTCCAGCCTTCATCTGCCGGACCAAAGGGCCAGCTTTTGGTGATTCTCTTCTTCTCGTTTAAATGCTCCTAGTCTGTGAAAATCTCTTTTCACTTTTCCCCAACCATTTTTGTGCAGGGAGCTAGACACTGGTTTGAAATCTCTCTCCAGGCCTGCGGAGAGGAGAGGCCACAGCCCCTCCACCCACATAGATGTGAATCCAGCTCACAGTATTAAGCCTTTGGTCCTGAGCAAGCGCAGTAAGAACATACAGTATCTCCATCCCATCCCTATGTTTGACACTGGCGCAGAAGTGGCTCCCCCAAGGCAACCGCATCACAGAGGGGAGAATCACCCAGGGGAGGAAATTCTGACCTATACTCCTTCCACGCAACCTCAAAAAACCCTTATTCTCTGTACAGTTGGTAGCTTTTTTCCCCCCTCTTCCCAGAAGTGCTTCCTTAAAAGACACACAGAAATAACTTTAAATTCTACAGACTTTCCATCTAAACTTACGAGGAGGGAACAGGAACCCATAGGAGATTTGTTTGTCGCCTCTGTAGGCTGCACAGCTCTGACTGTTTCCCGGAGAGATGCGCAGGTCTGCCCTCACGCAGCTGCTTAGGTGCTCGGGGACACCAGATACCTCGGCCTGCATTGAAAGACATGCACTGAAACCACAAGAACGGCAATTCCTGCATTTACATCTAAAAAGGAGTTATTTAAGCAAAACAATTTCGTACAGTCAACAGATTAGATGAAAGGCCTTCTACGGAATAAAACAGGTAGAAGAAATTGCTGCTGGACACTGTTCAAAGGTAGTAGCTGATTATGCTATAAATTCTACTGGGAAAACAAATTCCCACTGAGAAAAACTCAGAAAGAAAATGAAAACAGGAAATTAAATATACAGTCCTTTGTCTTTAAAACTGTTATCTTCTGAAGGAAATAAGGAATTTTTTGTTATTGTCTATAATATTCAGCATTATTTCTGGCAGAGAACTCTATTTGGGGAAGAGGAAGTTTTAAACCTCAGGAATATAGCTACAACACAGGCTTTACCAGCATTTTTCAAGCCGGTTCCAAGAGCAGAGAGAGCACTGACCTGTTTGGAAATAGTGTAGGACGTCCAGAGAGGCATCAGGAATGTTTCGCTGTAGCCACTTTCAAAGTCATGGTGATGCAAGATGTTGTATTTTGTGCGATACAGTACTGCAGGGCGTCCATACAGAAGATGCCTCTCTACAAATCAGAAGAAGTTACATTTAAATTTACCAACGAAAACTTTAAAGATGAAAAAAAACAGCTGGCTTTCCAACACACGCTAATTTTACAGCAGTCCTCAATGGGATCCTGGCCCTTAACACCTAAGGAAACCTTGTAATAGAGAAAGCAGTTATTCTTACATATTTTTGCTTGGGATTCCCTTTCCAGGCTCACAACCCACTTTGGGGCTGCATGTCCCCTCTTCTGCATTCGAAAGCTTGTCAGGGTTATAAATGTTTGTTTAGAAACGACTAAGAGCCTGGAAATGGCTCAGAGCATGGAAAGAGGCAATTTCTCCAAACACGGCAAACTCCAGAATGGTCTTTGTACCCACATTTCAGTTGCACATAAGGTGAAAAATACTTTTTTTTGTAGCTTTACGCCGGACCCTGTCTTATCACTCCCTGCTCCTCCTCTCTCTCTCCTTCCTCTGTTTTCTGTACAGCAGAAAGTCCCCAACAAAAGGAAGGCTTTGCTCACTCACTGAAAGAATTTTTTTTCCACTTGGCTGATAAAGATGATATTCTAAAGACTGATGATGTGTTATTTTTCTGTCAGTAACATGAAAGAAAAACAACAACAACAAAATCTTTTTGTAACTTTGGCTCCAAAAAGACATCTTTAACTCTGCAAAACTTATTTTTCTTTCGTAGTGGAGACACGGTATGGTTAAATATCACTAGCTACCTCAAATAAGTTTGCTTATAGGGAGGATACAGATAAAAACATCATTAAAACCAAAAAGAAGGAAAAAAAATGTCCTGGCTAATCTTCCCTTGTGCTGCATGAGTCATCAGTTTTGATAACCATCTGGAAGAGAGTCTTGGCTTGCTTTTGGGAATCAAACATAGAAACAAGGTAAGTAGCCTAACACTGTTTATTGACAGGAATTTAACCCAGAAGAAAAGGTCATGTTTTATTAGTGTTTGAGTCCCACCAGAGTATATTTTTATAGGACATGAGAAAGAAAAGTAGAGAAAGCTTTGTCTAAGGAAAAAGGTCATATACTTCCCTTTATTCAAGAGAAGCTGAAGGAATCTTTTTCTTCTGCGTGTGAATAACAACATCAGCTAAACATGCACGGTTCAGGACAAAAACATGAACATGTGCAAAAGCCTGTCATAAAATATAACAAACTAACTTGTAAGTACTAGAATTGTTTATTGTTTAAATAAGAGGCACTTAATTCCAGTTCATAAACAACTTGCAGATAAACAAATGAAATTGATTTAAATGTTATTTCTTAAACTCCAACAAAAATATTAATTTTATACTACTAAAGTGAAAAAGCATCAGGACCTAAGGCAAAATAAAGATGTTGAGACATCTAGGAGTACAGTGTTGATTTTTTTCCCATTGCCAGAAATTGTCACAGCAGAGAATAACTCTCTACTAATTGAAAAAATTAGTTTAATAAGATGAAAGTCTACAAAAGACTTTACCTTACACTATGCATTTGATCCTTTATAATAAGTGGTGGGGTTTTTTTCTCATTTCAGTATGAACATAAGCTTAGCAAAAGTTACTGCAGCACAATACATGTAATAAAAGCGTCAGCAAATTTTATATGGCTCATCTGGTGCTTTATGCTTTCAGAGAAGCTGCAGAAAGGCAATTAAACTTGCAGAAAAAAAAGAATATTTTCATTAATAGAAACTAAAGCATTGGCTGTATTGCCTGTTCACTGTAGTAAAACTGAAGTAGCAGCAGCTTTGTGAGGTTTTTTTTTTTTTTTTTTTTAAAAATCCTTATCCATCTGATTTGAAATATGTCAAGTCCATGTCTAAACTCAAAGCCTGAGAATTTGCTAAGTTGCATGAGGGGAACGCTATCAGTTATGCTGAACTGGATCACATCTGCAAGAAGAAAAGCTGTGCTTTGACGTGCCTCTAAGATGGCATTGCTGCTCCCAAAAGCAGTTCCCATCCCCTCTTCTCTGGCCTCTCATCCTATTTCTAAGTTTAACCTGGACCAAAACCCTGGGGGACCATGCAGCCACACAAATGCCAGCGTTGCTGTGGAGCAGGGAAGGCCCAGGAACTCACATCCAGGAGAGGAGCTGATGCTTTCTTCTAGAAGAAACATCGACCTCAACATTGATGAGGGACTGAATTGGCCTTAGCATCTCTGAACCAGCAACGCAATTGTGCATTGTTTACTGAACAGCTTCAGTGGATAACCCTTATCCTCAAAATTAAGCGTTACGAAGCCAATCAGAGAGAGATGGCCAAAGGAGTTGCACGGTCTTTTTTACCGGTGACCAAGTGAAACCCAAGACTGAACGTTACTGGTAAAACAGTGTGCAAACATGGTGCATGTTCCTTTTTACCCCATCTATTGCTTGTGATTGAATGGCGCGCTGTGTCGTGCTCCCTCTCCTTTCCTTTCTTCTTCTCCCTTTCCACAATAGGGATGAGATCTCCAAATGGTGATGGAAAGCAAGAGCTAAAACTTTTATCACATTGAGTGATACTTTGGCCCTGGTTATTGAGAAGACAATGTGCATTTCCTCACTTGAGGAGCACTTAATGTGCCATTCTGACAGGCATTTGAAAGGATAGTGTGCTACACAACATTAATTAAACCGAAACAGGTGTTTGTCTGGTATTAGTGAGGCAGTCTAACTTGCAAAAGAAAACAAAAATCATTTTTATTAACTGAGTCACCAGGTTCTTACCTTCTGTTCCTTTGACATGAAAGCGCTTATTGAGTTCATCCAACTTGTTCTTCTCAAGAATAGAAAAAATGAACAAGATTAGGATCACTGGAGCATTCTGACATCTTGTTTTACTAGGCATCTAGCAAAACAAAACTAGTGCTATAAAACACTGATGATGTCTTTGTTTCTTGTTTTACAAGAAGCATTAACTGTTTAAAAAGGGCACAGAACACTTCATAGGAAGGATCTGGGGAATTCTATTAGATCAAGCCCTCTAAAATATGGCTTGATGGCTATACGGCTATAACTTCACTAGGCAACTACTGCTAATAGTAGAAGTACTGGCAGATCCCAAATATCTACCTTGTCATCGCATGTACATCCTATATCAAAATCGGATGCAGAAGGAAGAGCTACAGGATAGAGTGGTTTAGCGACTTCATCTGGCACGGTGGGTTTATAAACACTGGCTCTCAGCAGGTGATTTAAGCTTCCATGAGTTCCATTATTGGGAGCAGGCTTTAATCCAAGCAGATCTGCCAAAACATCAAACAAATCAACGATGGTTAGATTGCAAACATATGTATCCAGTAACATATCTACTGAGCTAAACGATTTATTTGTAATAGTCTTTACATCTATGACACGCTAGTAAATGCTTTTAATGTAACCAAAATGCTAACATTTTGTCCACATCCTAAAACTTCAAGTCATGCCTGAATAGTAGGGTAGTCTTAATGACAAGAAGGTTAATTCGCATGAAGATATTGGAAAACAGCTTTATTATAACTACTTCTGCAGGTTCCAGTGCATACCCACAGACCTTCACACCAGCCACCTGGAATAGAGAGTTACTAGTCACCAGCTTTACAGATAAAGGATAGTTACCCTTTTGGTATTTCATGATTTTAAAAAATTTAAATGAGTGAATTACACTTTCAGTGTCGAAAGTTCTATCCCCTGGAAAATCAGCGTTAAGAAAAGATCATGACCAGTATCTGCATACAACATCAGACTCTACTTCACTGCTACAGAAAGAGTACAATAAAATCGTTATCAGGAGATGCTGTAGAAAACTGAGTGATGTCCCTGAGCTGCTCCTTGAGACGTGCAGGGGCAGAAGCAATCTTTGGGTGCAAATTGCCTTCTTAGACTAACGAAGCATGGACACCACATACTGTAGTGGTGCATATTCGATCTCTGCCAAGCTGCAAGCAGCCAAATTATGTTAATACCCTTTATTGGCCAATTGCTAGAATACAACAAACCCCAGCCTGAGACGTGTGTTCTGCCCTCCTAGCCAAAGGATGAGTGCCTGAGAAGGAGGGAATAGGGACAGGATACAGGGAGGGAGTCAGGACATGAGCTGTCATGTGCCTACATGGATCCCTGAAAGCCCTGTTAGCTAAAGCATCGTGCTTTTTTCACAATTCATTCAGCAGGTAGCTTACCACACATGACGTTGTAAAGTTCAATATTTTCAAAAGGAGGTACTTTGGTCTTGTATTTAAATGTAGGGCCGTAACCTATAAAGACAGTCTTTAGGAAAACAAAAAGAAGAATACAAAATAAGAGAGTTAAATGGTAGATTTTTTTTCAGCGAATATTTACATTTTAGAGACCTCTAATTTCTTCTGCCACCAGTGACCCACCCATAAAGGTTTTTGCACTGCTCATACCTGCATGCTGTTTATCTTATTGTCATAGCCATGGTCTCCATGGAAGAAACATTTTCCTGTTGGTTTCTTGTAAACATCCACAGCTTTCCTAAATTGAAAAAGCATTAGCAAGTTTCTCAGGGTTGTAGTTATGGCTGCTGACCGAACAATGTACTTTTGGGACAGGAGGGACAGAATTTCAAAGGCAGTAAGTTGCTCATCTTTTGCAAGTAGAGGGGGGCGCAGGCTCACCTGACAATCCCATCGGTAATTTAAAGCCACCTCTCGGTTTTGTGGCAGTTTGGCTCTAAAGAACGCAGTCAGACTTTGCAACTCCAGCACTCCCCCGAAGCGAGCAGAGCGTGACGCTCGCCAGTAACCAGGACAAGAAGGAAACGTGTGACCCCAGCAAAACTCCGAGGCGGGTACCGTAGCTGGTTATGCAAGTGGATCATCCTTTTAACTGTGGTCTCTCAGAAGGATATTCAATTTCATTATTCTCCTCCCCAAAGACACGGTTTCTCCCTGTGCTCCCAGGATATGGGGGTGCAAACCTAAAAGCCAGCTCTTATCCACTGATAACAGCTTTAATATCTGTTTACTTATTTTAGCAGACTTTCTCATATCACATCATCTCCTGCACACTGGAGGTATTGAGGATCATGCTCTCCCAATCAGTAAAAGGCCAACAGAGGCTGTAAATGCTGTGCCAATGGCAGTGTTTTAAAGTCCTTTCACCTGTTGGCCTTTAACCCAATTAAAAAAAAAAAACAGAAAGAGCAGCAAAGCTGGAGGGAAAAGAAAAAGGAGAGAGGGAAAAGATGAGAAAGATTGTAATGAAGAAAAATATCTGGAAAAATAAGTACTGTACATAGGAACGATAAGTAAAGCTCCTTCCAGAGTACTACTTCACATTTCGTTTTGTGAGGGACATGAAATGTATAGATAACGCACATAATGGAGTGGATTATCCTACAGGTTAATTTCTTCATCCTTGTAAAACTGATACTCAGCCAAAGTTTGATTTTGACCTTGTAAATTACTGGAGTTACAACAATCAACTCTAGAACTACCCTTTTCCTGGCTATGAATATGCAATCAATTACAGTTATATTGACAGATGACTTATGGTGAACCAGATTTCAGAAAATCTCGTCAGTAAATAAGCCAAAAAAAACTTGAGATGAATAATAAGAAAAATAGCAAATGTAAATCAGCTTGGGTATGCCACTTTGATCCAGTCAGTTTCAGTAAAATTCTTAAAACTAAAAATTTTATAGGCCTAAAACTCAAATTCTCTGAAATGTACGTGAACCCTAGCCACAGAAACTGTACAAGGAAAATAGCCAAAACCTAGTAGAGTTATGCAAGAAAGCAACTGGGGTTTCTCATTCACTGCTTCAGCAGGGTGATCCTTGCATAATTCACGAGAAGATAAGCACAGATGTCAAAAGGCACTTACAACACACTGTGTGTTTGCCTGGCAGCAATGCAGGCAACAAAAACTACTGTAATTTAAAGCCCATAACAGAATACTATGAGCCAAATCTGTGTCATCTTCCAAGAACCACTGAGTCAATTTTATGGCTAAAGACCCAGTCATTCTTAACACTGTAACATGCAACAAGTGTCAAAAGATCAAAGGGACAAAAAGAACGTATACTGAACTAGAAAAGGGCGTGCAATTCATAAACAAAGGCTATTGCACTTGTGTTTTCTCAGTAGTTTTAAGCGCCAACTCGTTTTTCCTCGATCAGTCACTAGCTAACTGAGTTTATAAAAAATTGCCCGTGTTTTACAACTGAAAATTCAGACACATTTGGGGAAGAACAAACCAAAACAAGGTTTTCACTGAGCAGCAGCACTGAAGCATCCTGGTTTCCTGCGGATTAGTTTCACAGCACAGCGCTCTCTTGCGTGCACTGGGATGGCCATCCCGTAATACCCTCAGGGTCTTCCACATATTCTCAGGCTTTTAGCCACTCTGCCACCCTCTCAGAATCTCCATTTTCTTTCCTTTTACCCATTCCACGACTCAGTCCCATGTTCTCAAACCTCCCCTGGTCACCTATGCCTTCCACTTCCTCCCATGTTCCCCACTCCCCAGCTGGGATAAGCTTGCACCTTAATAAATGAGTTGACCAAATAAAATATATGCGAGGTATATATGAGCTAATCAGTCAAAAAGCACACAGCTATTTGGGGGAACTAATCTGTGTTTCTCCTCTCTGTCTCGTTATTGCTTTTCCTAAACTTCACTACAATTTCCTGTTCTGAGACACCCGTCCCTGCATCAAACGTGATTGAACCTCACCAGGAGTTCAAAACTCTTCTTGTTCCCAGGCAGCAGGAGGGGGATGCTGACAGATCCCAGGGGCCTTTTTTCCTCCGAAAACCAGGGTGAAAATCAGGATAAAAGCATAAGCAACAGTTTACCTTGCCACGTGCCATTTGCGATCCACCAGTAAATGGACGTCTTCAATTCTTCGGTTGTAAGCATAGTGCAAGCGTTTAGGAAGGTGCTGTTTCAAGTAAGGCTTAAAGTGCTGGTCTGGCTTTCTACACTGAAAATGAAGCGATTACAAACAACACTGTTGTCAGTGAGGTGCAAGGTACACGTAACCTTCAACTACAGAAATCAAGCTGCTAAACACATTACTGATCATGCCTTGAAAACGACATGAACATGCACAGTATCCCGCAGAGCCCTGTCTGTGCAATATTTGTGCAAGATCAGTGCATAGGGGGTCATTCAATGACGTATCTGGAAAACTTCATTCTCATGACAGTCTTTTCAAAAGCATCATGCCAAACATCACACTTAGCTTACAGATGAAGAACTTTGTTCTAACTTGACCAAAGCATAAACTTCAAAGGAAAGCTAAATGCTTGTATATATCTTGTATATATCTTGTCTACAGGTATATTTACTAAATTTGATAAAAATTGGCATTTATTTTAAATGTTTTTTTCCCATGAAAGACAGGGTAACGGTTGAGGGCTATCAAATGAACTTTTTCAGCATCTTCAAAGTGCTAGTAAAATATTTACTTGAAAAGATTACTTTCCATTTCTGAAGGAACGAATAAATAGACTCAATTCAGGGAGTCAGGACAGTCATGGAGATTCTGGCTCAGCACTACCCGAAAAGGTTATAAAAGCTACTACAGTAGCAAACAGTGGAATTCATGACAAACATTAATCTCTACTCATGAAGGGCCCTATTTAACACTCTTTATTCGCACTAATGATTGGTTTTCCTGCCTAAAGAGTGAGCAGGGAATGCCAAATAATGTCCCAAAGTAAGGTGTGAAGTCAGCAGTGCACTATAGACATACATCTCGGTCCTAAATACTTACTGTAAGGTTGGCAACGATCACTTTAGGGTCATCTGTTAAGTAAATAAAAAAAAAGGACAAAGATATCAAAAGGTGAACCATCTGCTGAAGAAATTACATGTCATATTATTAAAAGGGTTCCTCTTAAAAGTTGTCTGATCATTACTAAAAATATACTCTATATCAGATAGGATATTCTGAATATGAACTAAAATTTAACTGTGTTCCCTTTACTCAGTATTTTGTTGCTCAAGTAACGTTGCATGTTGCTCGGTGTTTTAGGATTTGGGCCTAAGCTTAATGTTTATTCTATTTTTTAAAGACATTCCATTTCAAGTATTATGTCTGCTTCCCTTTAAAATGTAAGGCCATTCCCAAAATATTTTGAAAGCACATTTGAACACAACAATGCATTTCCTTAGAAACAGTAAGATAAATGTGCTACATTTTTTGCCTCTTTTAGCATTATACATTTCAGTAAGCTACTATAGAGTAAGCGAAAAGCAACAGTGAAATAGTCTGGATAAGTCTTAGGATTATTAAAGGGCTGTGCAAGACGTAGCAAAGCTCAACCCAACAACAGCCCACACTAACTCTGACTTCTTCCAGGGTGAAGAAAGAGCATTCTTCAGTCTAAAGAGAAGGAACAGGTTAAAAGAAGGTAGAGTTTCATCTTTCTTAACTCTTTCTGATTGCTTAAGGCATGATCGTGCTTACCTTGAAATAAGCTCTATTGAATCCCAGATCTATTGAATCTATCATTGCAAAGGTGTGCCTGTAAGCCTTGGAGCAGCATTAGGAAATTAGGAAATTAGCAGAGCAATAAAACTGCTGGTAATTAGCCATTTAATGAGCCAAACTCCATTTCCATGACCAAGAAATATGCTTCTTTGTCCTATGTTCAAACTGTTAATTTATAAGCAATTGCAAGTATTCGGACTAGGAGGCTGGGGACAGAAGCCAAAAGAGGAGAATGGTGTTGCGGGAAAACCTGAAGTATGACTCAGAGGTCAATCACACTAGCTGATCTTTTTGGAAGATATTGCCATTCATCCTCCAAAGAAAACTAATCTTGCTCAGCAATTTGGGAATCCAAGGACTGAAAGTTCTTTAAAAAAAAAAAATCTTCTCAGAAGAATTGAAATATAAATTTTTAGTAGACTCTGAAGTGCAGAAATTCAGTCTTTGTGTTAGTCCAGTGAGTTTTATCAACATACATTCTGTTTTCAACAGATCTTTACACGCACATCTTACATTCCTACAGTACAAATATTCAGATAAATGAGATCATAGTAAATAAAAATCATCTTTTCATGGTTTCTGCTATCATTCTAGAGATCTTTAATCTTCAGAAAACAATTTCTTGCAAAATCTGTCTTAAATCAAAGTATATCCGAAGTATTGTGAGGGGTCAGTTGGCTGTCCCCGCTATCTGGTGGTCCCCTCCACCAAAAGCTCTCATCCTTTTAGTATACTTTGCAAAAGCACGGGTACTTATGGTTTAGCTTTTGAGTTTCACAGTTTGTATGGTAGCTTAAACTGCTGGCAAAGCCACATTTGCACTGCTACACTGAAGCAGAGCAGTCAAGGTGCTGGCACAAGCCCCGTCCTGGTGCCACTGCTCTGGAGGTGGTAATCCTCAGCAGAGTGGTCAGGGCAGATGGGGGCAGTAGTGTCATAAAACACAGTTAGCCTCCCCAGAGGACACCTGCCAGAGCCCTCAGCACTCTCATATAAGGCCACCTGATCTCAAACACCAAGTCAGGATCAGCTTTTAATAGTGTAATACAACAAAGCGGTAAGTTGAACTTGAGTTGAACTTTGAGCCCCCTTGGCTCAAACGTACACTTTACAGTGCCCTTATATCCTTCAGCACCCCCAGTCCATCTTGGCTGTTTAGCAACCCACTCTGTTCCTCATCCACGCCCAAAGTTTGAAGAGGCTACTCAATTCAGAATTAACAATTCACTTAATCCATTAGGTCAGAAAAGGTAAAAGACACTTTTTTTATACCCCTCAAGTCCTGTTTTCATTGACAGGAGGGTGAAGAGCAGCCAATTCTAGGCTGTCTTTCCTCTGAATGTCCTGCCAACGCCAGGCAAACTTACACCCTTTGGGCTACATCGGCCCAAGGAAGGGATGAGGTCTAGTGTTCAGGACATAAATGATATGATTAAATTAACTTACATTTCAGATTATTGCTAGATCTAGGGCGAATTCGCCCTAAGGAGCCAGGCAATAAAATGATATCTTCCACATTAGTCAGATAGTTGCTTAAAAATTCAGTTCTTTCACAAGTAGTGTCTTCCATCCCTGCAGAAGGAAAATGCAAAATTAATCCAGACTGAACAAACATGTTTCCAAAACAGCGTGCAAGACACCCCAAACAGACTATTTTAAGTATTCTTTTCGTTTTGGTAACTAATCCTATTCCTCTTCTTTCCAGTCATCTAATTACAACATTGGACACCAGAAGGAGCCAAATTAGGGATGCTTTTAACACTTGCCTACATGAGAGAAATACCAGTCTCAACACTGTAGAAACAATCACCACATATACCATGTGTGCACTGTCACATCTCCAAATTAAACTCATGGAAAAATCCAAGTCTGTTTCTAGTTTAGTATACTACTTTGGGGATTGTTTTTTTTTTTTTTAAACAAAGAGAAGTCACACACAAAAGGTATTGTCTGTTGGTGGTCTGTTCTAAGCCAGCCTCAGATAAACAATTCTCTCCTAGTTTGTGGCTTGGAGGAACGTATTGACAGGCACAGTCCAGTTCTCAGCACAAAACTACCTCCTCTGTAAATTTGTGCTGTCCCGTATCCTTCTCTCCCCACAACCAGACAGGAGGCTTAATCCATTTTATTGCTAATCTAGCACATCTTGTGAGATTTTCATAAACAAAGACACGAACAAAACAGTACTCCTTACAAATGATTAACATCTGACTAATTTGTGGACTTTGGATATGTCACTGAAATGTTATGTCAGAACAGGTTTATCTCAAATATGGCCACTTTTTTTTTTTAATAAAATTTTCTTTTTCCTATTGTCTTTGCTAGCATTTACTATTTCTTCTCATTATAATGTTTTCAGAAGAATTAACCTACCAAATCATATATCTGCTTTTTGTGGTGACCCTCCATCTATCCCCTAGATATCTTTTATCCCCTTTTCTCCTTCCTTGATGACTTTTGATGACTTTCTCTATTGAGACACAGTCCCTCACATATATTCCACTCTTTTTCCTGTTAAGATAGCTCATCTCACTAATTGCCATGAAAACGTTTTGCTCCAAACCTTTACTCCTCCCCTCATGAAACAGAGAACAAGGCTACTAAATTGTTTTCTTCCATGAAGACTACCAAAAAAAATACTCAAGGCATATTATAGTCTTCTGCTATCTGCTGGGAAAGTTGCACTTGGAAGTGACATCAAAAATGGCAAGCTTTGAAAAACTCTATATGAAGATTTAAAGGTCAAGATCAACGAAATTAAAGAGAAGTGTATCCCAGTGAAAATGAACAGGAGAGTTGAATGGCAACTCTACACTGACTGGTTGTGTTTTAGGACTTAAACTTCTAGAAAAATCAGCACAAAAACATCTTAAATGGGACTTAGGCCACCCATTATATGTACGGATGTATTACTCAAGCAATTCTATAGCAATAAAGAGTATTTTTTTATTTTACCGTGATCACCAACAAATATGACATTGACACATCGATGTAGTTTCAACTGTTTCAGTCCATCCATGAGTTGTCCTACTGTCTTGTCAATCTCCCTCAGGGGATTTACCATCATCTGTATAAACATGCACAAACAGAAAAAGTTACTGCTGTCATTGCAACGTTCCCCCTTTTAGTACAAACGGAGGTCCTTTGGCACAACTCTGATAGGATAAACATCCAGGTCAAGAGGCAAAGCCTTGGCTGAGCTGTTACACCTACAATTTATAACTCCTTTCCTCTATCCACACCATGGTTTCTTCCTCAGAAAGCCCTGCTGGGAAGACAGTAAAAGACACAAGACAGCAAAAGATGTTTATGGCTGCTTCTAGGCCTCCCAAAGAACCTTGCACATTTGGCAAAACTAAATACCAAGAAATCAGAAAAATGCATGTGACTTTGGGATTCAGTTTGTTTCTTCTAGATAAATAACTCTGCTTTTAACTGGCTGTTTTATGTGAATAGTATAGTTCAAACATGGACACGAAATGAAGCTTTTGACTCAGGATTCATATCCCAAGACACTTACTAAAATTCATCTCAAAAGATATCTGATACTAGGATGACTATATGCAAGTCACTTGACTTCAGTAGAACATGGAGCTCGGAGGGAGGCATTCATCTGCTCCAAAGCCAAGTTTCCAACATCTCAGAGGACAGTTTTGGCAAAATCGTCAGCAGGCCCCAAAAGACGTAGATACAGTGCTGTGATTTCTTCATTTAAGTTTCTTTTTTCATTAAGAAACAAAACAGAAAACACTAAAATAGGCTCACAGGATACAATTTTCACTCATGAGAGAATAAAACATTTTTACCAGATGGCAGAGAGAAGAGAAATATTTTAAAGTAAGATTTTAGGCAGAAGACTTGGATTTTGCTTTGGTTTTGAGAAGAAAATATTTCTTGTCACAGTATGCTGACTTCCTTCTCACTTCTCTGTTTGATTTGGCTGGTCCAAGTATCTGGAACAAAATATTCTCCCAGTGAAAAAACAGAATGATAACAAATTCTGGATGAGGAAAAAATAGATTTGGGCAGAATTTTCTGAGAAGAAAAAACAAACACCACTTGACTATGACCCAGAAAGAGAAAGTTCAGAAATTGTCCCTCTTCTGAATCATTAAGAGATGATATATGAGCCTGATAATTTATAAGATGACACAGGAAACGTCATCTCCCATGTGGCACTGTAACTACATGAAGAAACTGCTCACAGGAGATGGAATCACAGTGTGGAACAAGAAAAACAATTTCTGCAACACACGGTAGTGGTTCAGGCACAGAGTGAGATTTTGAAATATTTTGATTCAGGAAGACTAAGTAGTTAGTATTGTTAAAAGCATGAAACATTCTGAGTTTAGAAAACAGAAGAAAATACGGCTACAAGACAACTGTGTGTTTCAACATTCGCCGAGAGTCAAACAATGAGGGTTTTTTGTTTTTTTTTTCAATGAATGGGAATTCCATTTTTATGAAACTATCCATGTAACATCAATCGCCTAAGGAAATACAACTTTTTCTCAGAATTCAAATCTTCAGGAAAACTGGAAATCCAGATGGATTTCCCATTAATGTTCACTTTTCTCAGTGGACTTGAGGCTTCTTTCCTAAGAAAAGAGCAACAAAGTTTACAGAGATTTCAAGGATTCATGAGCGATGTTAATTTGTTTAGCTGCTCTCTTCACCAATTTCATCTGTAGGTCTGCAGAGACACTTCTGAAACTAAAAGAAAGTCAATACAGATGAAAAATTCTGTTCTTAAAAGAAACAGAAAGCTCACACAAGCAAGCCACAAAAAACTCCGGTTCTGCCCTTTCTACCTGTGTTCAGAGCAGCTCAGAGGAAGGCTCTCACCTGTATTCCTTCATTTAATTGCATTCTTTCTCCCTCTAGTTTTTAAACCTTAGCTAACTTTTATTTTTCTATCCTGAACTCAGGTTTTTTCCCAAAACGGTCACTGCAGGGTAAGGCCAGCTGTAGGTTGCACATCCGGGCAAGGTTTTTTTTCATGTGCTTTCCCAGATGCAACTTCCAAAGCTGTTCCAAAAAAAAAAAAAAAGTCTGGCATGTACCTTTCCTCAGTTATATGTTGGTCTCAGGAATCTGGGAAGCTGTACGGAAGCATTTTGTCTTTGAAGATGTATGGATATCTGAGATGGTACTAGAAGAAAGAGGGGATCATTAGGAAAGCATTAGTCATGGGATCTGAGATATGCAGACCATAATTATATTCTCTTCTGAGTTTTCCTTTGGAAGAAGCTTGATGTGGAGGAAGAATTAATTTCACTATATCCTATTATTTCTTTCCTTTGTAGGATCCTGGCCTATACTACATTCTGTTGCTCCTGAACAGCACCGAAAGACTAACTTGCATATGTGATGGGAAATACCATGTGTAACAATGGGATGGGTTTTCTTCTGAAATTCTAATGATAAATTCAGAGTAGACTTTTCATGAAGAGTTCTGAAACGGATAAAAAGTTAGGATAAACTTTTCATTGCGAGAAAGAAAGAAAGAATCGCATATGCTCACATCAAGAAGAATGTTATAGGCTACTTAGAATACTTAATGCCAGAGCAGTATAAGTTGTCAGATAAATTAATAAGAGCAATATTGTCCATAGCAGTTATCAGCTCTTCTCTCAAGTAAATCAGTGCTAAAAGTACTCTGAAATTTTTCAGCTTTCTTATACCTGACAACTTTCTTGAAGCCTTTTGTGTCCCTGTCTGCCCCTTCCCTATTTTAAGATGAATCCTTACAACACATGCAACAAGTTAAAACACACACACACTTATAGAGAAGACTATCTCTGGCCTCTTGTAAAATACAGCAGAGTGTCAAGGCTTTTGCTTGAAGCCTAAAGGAGGAACATTTAGGCTGTTTATTTGAACTGTTTAGTTAAAATTCCTAAATGAAAAAAAAACACTAAAGTTGTCTGTAACCCCTCCCATTGTGTTAATTAGTGCCTGGTGGAGAAAGGCAGTGCGCTAAGGAATAACATTTTCCTCTACTTGCATCTTCCCTGATGAAGCAATTTCCAGTTGACATTTTTCTTGTGAAAACAGACTTATACATCACTGCACACTTCTATTGCAATCTGGCATTCAGAAATCATGTAATCAAGAATCCCTTGCCCTCAAAAAAAAAATCACAAATTGGTTTTAAAATAGTTATTTTTAAAATAGCTTTTCAAAGATTTCCTTTTAGTTTCTGAGAGTCACATTTTCAGGATTTCTCCATAATCAGGATAATTACAGACAGAGTCTCAAATAATCATGAGACTTCCAAGAGTTGGGGAGTTAAAGTGGCTACCAAGTATCACAGAGTGTATAATAGATCACAAGGGTTGGCAGCTCCGATAGTGTCTTCCCAGGGATTTATCTGAGCATTGCCTCCAGTTGATGGCTGGGTTTTAAAGGAGATTTTAAAGATGACTTTCCCTAAAGCAAACAGTCTGAAACAAGAAGAATAGTTCCCAGAAAACTTGGTCTTTTTGGCTGCTTTCCTTTGGGTCCTTCAGTACACCTACAGAAGTTCTGTCGGCAAAGTCCCAACCTGAAGCATCGAGGGAACTCCCAAATTGAAAAAGTAAAGCTAGAGAAGTGCCTAAAAAATGGCACTTTTGTCATAAAGTTTTGGAACACACGTGAACTTACTTTCTTCCGGCGAGCTTGCGCAGCATATTGATCCACTCTATGTACTTTTCTTCTTCTTTTCTTTGGAGCTGCAACTGGTCTTTCCTGTCTCCTCTTAGGAGCAAGCTTTCTCTTAGGTCTCTTAGGCGGAGTAAGAGAGGAGCCATAACTACTCTCCTGTACTGGCGGGGAGAGATGGCTGGACTCAGAAAAAAAGCCTGTCTTGACTCACATCAGATAGCAAAGCTACCTGTGTCAGCTAATCCTCGAGCACAAATATAGTGGCCTCTTCAAAAATTTAGGCATTTGGACAATTTAGGATCTGCCTCTCTTTAAAGAGGAATCCACCAAATTGTACTGAAAGCAGAATAGCAGTTATGAGAGCAGACAGCATAAAAGCAAATGAAATTGGTATTTCAGGAGAGGGTAGCTGGGGCTTATGTTTTTTGAAAGGATACAGTTTTGGTTATTTTTTATTCATCAAGTACTAATCCACTAATATTATCAAAAGACTATCGATATAAATTGTCTGCAATGAACTTTACTTAATGAGTGCTTGGGGGAGAGCGTAGGTGGAAATGCAACATCTCACTTGGTTGATGGTTCAAGCATGAGTACTAGCACCTGCCCCGCAGGAACGGCTTTCTACACGCACTTTTTGGCTGAATCAGTGACATCACGTACCCTTATCAGTAGCATTAGCCAGTGCCACCATTCTATGCCAGCCCATGCATCCCACCGAAATCACCTGAGCCCTTCTAGCCACTATCTGGGGACTGCAGGTCATAGAGCTTACCTCCTTCAAATCAACTGGGCAGGGCACTACCACCTGCCTTGTACCAGTTTTATGCCTAATTTGAGAACTGCATTTCCTAGCACTTTCAGTACAACATCTCATATGGGTAAAACTGTGGAGTATTTTTGTTTCGTTTTGGGGTTTTTTTTTTGCACAAACGCACAGATCACTGAGATAGACTTACAGAAGTGAAAAAGTCTTTTTAAGACTTGACTGGAAAAGCTACCATCCCATTATTTAACTCACTGACACTTTTAAACTGTACAGCTCCCGTTGACTCCAACACAAGTTGGAGGCTCTCAGCACTGCTCAGGAAAGCAGCGATAGATGACGCCTACTGGGAGACAGTAGAGTAACTACAGTATGCTAAGTATAACGGAGCACGCTGAATGGGCTTGAGAAGAGTTGGTGATTTATGATGATATTTACTTCTAAGTATTTAGTCAGCTTCCCACAGTTGTTCAGTTACAGAGTTATGTAAATAGGGAAGGGGAAGGAAGGGGATGTTACCATCTGCCATGCTGTTTCATTGCTTCCAAGGCAAGCAGCTGGAAAGGAGATTCTAGTCCAGTCTCATTCGTCTCTCTCCAGAAAGGCATTTTAATAAAGCAGCACCAGAGTTTTCTTTTTTAAAACGCTTCAAGCTTTGTGCAGTCCTGATGAGAGGAGCAGCAGGGAAAGGAAGGATTCTTGTTTTACTCTCTCTGAATAAACTCAGACAGAGCTTCACAATGCCAGAAACACACGAGCGCAGGAAACCCAGGAGTTTTGAACACCGAAAATAGCCGTCTCAAGACAACATGTTAGAGGAGCAGCAGGAACGGCCTAGCAATGCCAATTTTCGACGTGTTTTAGAGCTCTTACAGTAATATATTTCTAGAATATTTTATATCCAAAAAAAGTTAGCTTGGAGAAAAAAATAAAAGCCAAGTTCTTATTAACCAGCCAAATCTTAGTCTTGCTTGAGAAGAGTCAGAGTAAAGTTATGGAGGAGGGAACATCCCTCCTCGCTTACAGAAGGGAACTGTAACATCACAAGGGTAACTAGCCAGCCAAAGCTCTACTTCTTGACCCAGAAGAACCAACCTACCAGAGTTCAACTGCAGAAGCACAGAGGGAAAGAAAATAATTTGCAGAAGTAAATCAAGAGCAAGCATATATTCGATAACTCACATCAACTGTTCCTGAAAATAAAACAGAACTTCCTAAAAATACATCCTAAGAAGTTTATTCATGTCCCACCAAAATAATATCTGGACAACCAGTTCCATGTACATTGAGACTCATGACGTTAGAGGACATGAAAAGTTACTGCAGTGGTCACTGGCCATAACCTGTGTTCCATTTATATGAACAACACTGGCAATTCACCCATAAGGTTTAAGTGCTTCTAATTCACTTTACTCCTAGCTTTTAAGGCACTCTGGACTTATGCTGTTGTGCATACCCTATGTAGTTCCGAGTGCCATCAGCTGAAGTCACCGGAAGCTGAAGATGATCAGCAGTGAACGCCATTAGACCTTTAGGATTATACATTTAAGATACGTTTAGAGCATTACTTGGAATAAGAATCTCTGGTAAACATCCACTTTACTCTAACAGACATTTGAAGGATTTCAAGATGTAAAATTATTCCTCAAGCTATTAAATGCAGCAAGAAAAGCTCACAATAAGATGTTCACTGTTCAAAAGAAGAAATCAGAAGCCCATCTTAAATATAGTAGATAATTGTTCAGAGCTTGTTTTCAAACCTTATTGTTTTGCTGATCTGCCTTTGCATGAAGAAAAATGAAGTGGTCAGGACTAGTCCAACTGTCTAACTGCTGCCAGCTGTATACAAGAAAAGCATGATTTCACAGGGAGGTCATGCTCTCAGTATCAAGGAAGCAGCTGAAAGGGATCCCTTTGAGGACTTCCTTCCCAGCTGATTTATGCAAGTTTTATAGCTCCTAAAAATTATACTGAAAACAAAGTGTAAAGAGAAACAGTATAAAAACTCCCTAGCTTCTCTGTCCTGAAACCAGGCCCCTAACAAATCTCACCATCTGTATACTTACACAGCTGTATTCATTTAGTTAAATTTCCATTCACAAAGTTATGGCCATTATTTAATCTGTAAGCCCGTACATGCTCATCTACTAAATCATCTGTTCTCAATTCGCTAAAAATCAGTTTCATGCTCTTCTTGTGTTTTACACGAGTGGCATAAATCAAGTTATTTGTAAAACTTTCATAAGCTGTGAATTTACACTTACTAAGAGGCTAAGCTTTTCCTTGCAATTAGAGGCCAAACTTTAGATAACTCTCCAGAACCACCCTCAAGCAACAACAGCCTTAGGGCTTTTTGCTTTTGTAATGATTTTTGTTAGGATGATACAATTACCTTTAACTTTTTAGACACCTATAATTAACCTGAAACTAGATTACTCAGCATCAGACTCTTAACTGGCTTGCTAAAGGCTCAAATTAAAAGAAAAAATTCAATGTTATCTTCATAGCCTCCTTTAAGTCCATGGAAAGAGCCCCACAACTCTGTTCAGAAGGAAGTGATTGTCTACAGATAAATAAAATTAGAGTTGTCAGTCATAAGGCACAAGTAATATTTGTAACACTTCAATAAGAAGAGGAACTATAAAGCACCACTGAGTTACACATCCTTGAGCTGTATCAGAACCAGAGAACCCTTATGCCCAACAACCTGTTTGACCAAGTCAGCCATCTCTCCTGATCTGAGCCAAAGGACAACACTAAGATGCACGCAGGTGGCCAGTGTTGTCCTCCAGTATGGTGTTTCAAGCACACAAGTAAGAAACTACTGCTGGGTACCTGGCTGTTCTAGAAGACATATAAAACCTCCTGAAGTCTCATGACTGTGATCTGTGGGCAGACATTTTGCATTGAAACCAGAAGAGTTTTGCCAGATGTTCAGGTCCCAACCACCCTAAGCACAAAATTTGTTTTACCTCCTGACAAATCCCAGTCAACTGCATAGTCTAAGTGCTGTAAACTGTACAGTCTTGGAAGGGAAGCAGTATGTATTCCTTTTAGTCAGCTACTGAAAACCCAAACAAGGGGTTAAACTACTACAGTGTTTTGAACGTAATTTGTCATTAAAATACCTTTCAGCGCTTCAAAACGTTTTCCAAACTCAACAGTCCAGTCTTAGGGAAATAGTATTGGCAGAATTCCTGAACCTTTGTAGGGCCTATATGAAATTAGAAATAGCAGGCTTTTTACAGTTCATGACAGACTGGAATTATCAGTTTGGGTATTGCATGATATCAGCCTTAAAGAAACCTTTTTCCTTCTCTGCCTTTTCCTTCAACATTTTCTGTATGATATTTTTATTACTTTCAGGAAGGATAAATTGTTTGAGGAATGTTAAATTGTGCTGTTGAACCCAATTAATTTCATGTCTTTGCCAAGGAAATCTTTCCATTATATCACACAGAGAAATAGTCTCGTGAAAGGCATTGGCAGTTCCTTCTTAAAAGTGAACCTCAGATGATAAATCCTTAAAACAATAACTTTGTTTTCTCTGGCAGAGGGGGAGCATACTGCAGAAACAGGAGAAAAAAAGTTGCTAAGAACGTTACTCCTGAGCAGTGGCTGTTATTCCAAAAATGTATTCAAGACATGTGCTTTTCATACAGAAGAAAAGCTGTACTAACCTCTGAGTTGAAAGGACCATATCTGTGGCCAGCAGTATCTGGTTGTTCAGAGTAGAAAGCATAAGCGTAAGGCCTGAAAGAAAGAAAAGCCTTGTTCACATAGCTTTCCTTCAATAACAACAAAAAACCTCAAACCTGCCAGGTCAAGTCAAATCAAGTCAACTTTCAGCTAGAGCTGGCTTTATGGAAAGAAACTGTTGTTCAGTCATATGTTTCCATGGTATGATTAAGCAATTAGTTGTTCTACAAATTCATTAAATCCAAGCACACATGCAGGGAGGCTCACGGGGTACCATCTGAGGACACACTCTCTTTTCTTACTGTTGTAAGAGAGATCGTAACAGCAGCTCGCATGAGCTTTGCAGCCAGCAGCATGTGAGAACTCGTGTACTAAAAAAGTAGTGATAATTAACATCTTAGAATTTTCCCAGTACAGTTTCGGGGTACAGTTCTGCAACTGCCATCGCCTGTTAAGGTTGTTAAACCATTATTTGACTCAGCAGGATAAGAACAATGCAACTTAATCCACGTAACTAAATGTTTCTTGACAGGAAAGAAATTCATACCATAAATTTATTGAGAAGAATCAAAATGCTGACGATTAAAAGCTGGGATTCAAAAAAACAAAAGTCTTCAACTTTGTAATACTACAACAGACTACAAAAAAAAATTGTAAAAATAAAATTTCCCCTTACTCTTCTAGCTACTTTTAGGGACGTGAAAAGGGGCCATTATGCAGCAACAGATGACCATAAGTGAATTACCTTTCATTATCCGGAAGGGTTAACCACTGCAGTATTGTTAATATTCTGCGTTCATGAGGGATGACACTGGACCAAAAAAATGCAAAAAGTATGCCTTGTTATCATAGAATACAAAAAGCATTCAAAAAAGCCACACTATATGAACTGATCCTGACATGATCAAGACCAAACATCATAATGTCATTTTCTTTTAGTATTTTGTATCTTCTCTTTCCTCATTTGGTAGTGATTCTTATTTTGCAAACAGAATTACTTCAGATCTGCTGGATGTCCACATATTCCAAAAGAAAGATAATTAAATGCTTGCCACTGGAGTGAGAACTCAAGGTGGTAAGTTTAACTGCGTGAAGAAGGATCCATTCCTGTAGTTAACCTAGGTAAGCAGTTTTTATTCACAACAGTGTTGCCATTGAAGTCAGATGGATAGCTGGCATGAATAAAAATCATGAAATTGCTCATGTCAGTACAAGTTTACACAATCATCCTTCTCTGGTAGTCTTGAAGATACTGGAAGAGTTCCCATTGACTTACTAGAAACTGAACCAAGGGCTAAAGCCAGCATAAATCAAAACAGGTCCATTTGGAACATCAGGCCAGCAGCACAGTAACTTGCACAACTTTGACAACTTCTCACTCTGCAAAACATGTTCATCCTATTTCATTGTTTGTATCCTGAGACTTCTCGCTTGGCTGCTAAGGCCAAAATTCATGCTATGAGAATGACTAACCTTATAAACAAGCTGTTAAACTTCAAAAGATCTCATCTTGAGCAAGCTCTACAGGCCACTGACCATGCTATTACTAAAAAATAGTAGCGTTTGTTGATCCAGACTCCATCAGATCAACAGCAGACTCCTAAGCCAGGAATCAAATTCAACCATCCTGGATTCACCATGTTGTATCCAACTCAACGTTATTTGGAAGCACATTCAACAGTGAAATAAGGATGCCAACAGCCATTTTTTGCCTTGTGGAGCAACAGTGGTCCCGAGTCTCCTGCTATGCAGACAACTTTCTGTTACAAAACAACTATAAGAACAAGAATTTATGCTAAAAATTAGCAAACTGGGCCATATTTAAGATTATTGTTCCATTTTATGGTATTGCATATAACTGGGCAATGCCATAAAGCTGAATAATATTCTCGGGTATTACCTAGTTTGTAAATTTTTATTAGAGGTGCAATTTCAAAAATCTGCATTATTCCATTTAAGTCATTTGAGATTAAAATCGTTCAACATTTATGTTTTCCTGAAAGACAGTCAATCTAAAAATTCGCTGCCTCAAATTAAATAGCATAGTTTCAAGGAGGATACGTATCATTCATACGTAAAGTGGCTGAATCCCTCTCTTCATATTGGCATTCATATGAACTGTAACTGGTTACCTTCCGTAACATTTTATATCCCAATGCAAATGACCACCAGCTCAGGTGTTTATGACAACTGTCTGGTTGTAATCTTTAGAATTATATAAATTCCTTTGTTTTGTAGAGCACTAGATTGAAGCTAGAGTAGCAAACAGTATTATTCTTAATGGAATTCAAAAAAATAGGCAAACCCCTTGGTACTTCAATCTTCACCGTTTGCCCATTCTCTTCACTAATGGGATCATGCCACCAAAATGACAGGTTGATCCACAGAAATTCCCCAGAACTCAGAAATGATCAAAATTTCCTTCATTTTCATTTAGGAAGATACTACTTAGCTGGGACAAGGGAAAAATAATTTGGAACAGAAGAGATCCTCAAGACTGTTTTTAAGAAAGGAGATTTAGATATCTTATTCAGAGGTCAAACAGACTGAAACATAAAACGAGTGTCTATTTTAAGGGGTGAGCTTTTGAGGCAATTAGGGTGCTGATGTCAAATGACATAGGAGGACAACAAAAGAGTCTTCCACAAATACTCAAAGATCTAGAAAATATTACTAGCAAAACTAAGGGGCAATAAAACACAGACAAATGAAGGAAAATAATTTTTGACAGACATATCTTTTTTTGAGACAATTGCTAAAAATCAGTGTATGAACGTAAAATAGCAAATTGTAGCATTTGTTTTAGTTATGAGAAATATCACACAAAGGAAATAGGAGAGGGTTACAGATGCAGCCTCCAACAAGGCAGACGCTGAAAGCTCAGAGGAAGGAAAATAGGTTAATAAACACTTGTATGAAATTAATTCTGAATTATTCGTTACAAGTCTCCAGAAAACAGAAGGCACTTACACAGACCAGAAGAACGTGCCAGCTTTCACCCCTTGCTTGGCTGCAGTAATCCAAATCTAATGAGGAAAATATAAGAGGATTAGAACGTGTTCAGGTCTTTAACGTCCCTCTAAAATCAAAAGAAAATGTTTTCAAGACACATTCTTCTACGCTGAACCTAGAAATAGGGATGCAGGCTGAAGACTGCAATTTTTAATTCAAACACTTGGAGTAACAAACCCATGCAGATTCTGTAGCAGTGAATCGGTGCTTTACTAGCTATGCCATAAACAATCTAAGCCCTAAACATCTGTATTGCTTTTAATGCAAAGCACTGAGATGCATGGCTAGGCGTTCCCCCAGGATACCACTTAATTTTCACCAGGTGCCATATTTCACCTGAGCACTTCAGTGTTCAATTTTTGGATGTTCGGTTAGGAGACTGCTACACGTTTAAGATCATAACATAAAGCTACTCAGGGTCAGAATAAAGGTCCCTCTATCCCAGTATTCTACCACCAGGAGCAGTCAATAGAAAATGCTTTGGGAAAGCACATACAAAAAAGGGTAGACATGGTGAGTGGGGGAGCAAAGGAAGTGGAGGAGGACTCCTTACTCAGTTTAAGAGCTTTCTGAGCTCACCCAGAACAGTGATTGATGGGAATGATGGAAACAATCTCCATGAATCTATCAAATCTTTTCTTTGAACCCATCTATTTTTATGGCTTCCACAAAAGCTTGCAGCAGCTAGTTCCACAGCGTAATCACACTGCATGGATGTATTTTTCTTTTGTTTATGTTAAGCCTGCCAATTTCACTGAGGCTACGGTAAAGTTCTCATACTGTGAAAACAAGTTATTAATCCATTCTCTTCCCATTTCTGTATACCTTTCATGATTTTATAAGCCTCTTCTGTATTCCCCTCTACTTAGTCCATTCAAGCAGCCTTGGTTTGTTTGATCTTTCTTTAATGAAAGCCATTCCCTACCTCTGGTTATCCTCCTTATCCTTCTCTCTCTCTTCTTTATTAGATGAATACATATACACAAGGCAGGGGAGCGAGAACAATCAAAAATCAGAAGGCCTCAAAATTAAAGTAAGCATGCAATACAAATTTATACCCTGACAGTAGTAAATTTCCTTTGCAAAGAACTATCCAAATTATTTCAAAACCCATTTAAGCAGTAATAGCTTAAAGGCCAGTACTGTGTATGTAACTAGGATATTTCCTCCCCGTGTACCTTATTTATGCATGCTGCATTTCATTCATTTCATTACAATTTAAGCCAAAACAGTTCCCTTACTTGGTAATCGCAAACCCTCTGGTTTACTTTAAATCAGCTGCTTGAAATACATTCAAGACCACTATATCTTGCTGAGGCAGCCACTTAAAATCATCATCTGAGCCTACATTATTCACGTCACGCCTGAATTTTTCACACACTAGTTTTAACTGAAACAAGTTTGGCACAGTCTGAGGAAAGATCATTTCCACATTGAAGCTATAGTAAATGGCAATTATACCTGGCCAATGTTATATTCATATTCATGAAAAAATTGTGCATCTTTGCCCTTCAGTCCACATGTGCCCTGGACATACCTCTTCTCTGCATCATGCTCAGTTCTTCTAGATCTTACTGGACCTAATCCAGTTATATTAAAATTAAAACTGTAAAGGAGCATTTGTCTTCACTTCATTCAAAATTTTCAGTAAGGCATTCTCTTTTCCTGGGAAGAATATGTCCTTAATAACTTTACAGAAACGGTGATTTATTAAATAACTGCAGCAACAAGAAGGATCAGAACGCCCGTGCACTTGCAGCCCACTGCTCTCAGTTTTCAGGGGCTTCCAGGCAAGAGTCTGCTTTCAGGGGTGGCTTGTATTAATCAATGCTCATGCTGCCACCAGATGGGAAATCCCCCCAGCATCATCACCCAACTTCTGGAGCCCTAGTCTTGCATGGTGGCACAGAGCACAAACAGATCCGGTTGAAAATTAACCCTTAAAAAAAAAGTTGAAATTATATTGGAATTCTGTTTTGAATTGTGGAATAACAGGGTCATTGTTTTTAAATGTTCACGTAATACGAGCCCTGACAGGACTGGACAGAAAAACACAGGTAAACAAGAATAGAGATGAGAAAGGGCTTGCCCTTTCACAGATCATGTTACTGAGCCCATGGCTGCAGTTAGAGACATAACTGTAGCACAAGGATGCATCCACAAGCTCACTTGCAGCACGTACGCAACCCCAGCCGGGAGTCTGTGTCTAACTAAAGCAGGTGATAGTCCACATTCATTAGTAGTTCTTGGGCTACCCCCGTGAAAAGCACTCTTAAAGCAATTACATTTTCCATTACACTGTAGATATACTCCTAGAGCAGAACCCCTTCATGGCAGAGACAAGAGGTCAAATTCAAACTCGGCATGAGGAGCGTCAGCCCCACTGCTGTTATGCTCTTTGGTCTTGCTGTATTTGGAAAACCGTTGTCCCTACAGAGCTGCAGTAAATTTATTTTTCTTTGAAAGTGTTTGAGTTCCTGCAAAGTTTAAGTAATTTTGCAGAAATCTTTGGGCAGTTACCAACAAACTAAGTTCAGGGAATTCGGCATTTGGATTTTACCGTCTGTTAACTCTCGTTTAGCTTTCTAGTGCTTTGGACTGCACAGATCCAAGCAGTTTGATCTGTCTTTGGTTGGCCAAATCAGATCAGCCTTGTTCCACAAGCAGCAGTTCAAGTTGTCCTGTGTTACCCCTGACTCTTAGCCCTAGTGAAATTACCCATGACCCTGTCCATTTCAGGCAGTGATTCTAAACTTGTGCCAAAAGACAGCTTCTCTCTGGCCAAGAAGTTGGTAGCTACTTTTTATTCCAGTCGAGCATACAGCACACTTTATGAATGCCAAGTGAAAACAGCATGACTGCCATCCTGAAAAAGAGGAATGCAAGCAGCCATCCACTTCCCACCTGTGTGAAGGTCAAAGCCACATGCAGCTTGAACCAGCAACCCTCACAAGGCACTGATTCTAGGAAACTTTTGCAAAGCTCTCACAATACCGAGTTCAGGACAGGACAAGAGACAAGGCTGCAGAGTGAAAACTTCTATGTTTTAAACAAGTCTTTGAAAGGGAAGGAAAAGTGGCAATAGAAACAGAGCCCTTGAAGAGCTTTTCCCATACTGGGCTGCAGGGTCTGACAATGTCCCCAGAATAAGCTAAGTAGAGACCATCTCTAATTGTGCAGTCAAAGTGCCTCCCTTAGGTCAGCTCTGGTGGGCAGCAGTGAGGAGAGGGCATGGACTCCCAAAGGCAGCCAGCCTGGACTCCAGACCGGGAAAAACAGCAGCCTCCCTGCTTCCAAGCCTTCTATCTCTGGAAAACAGCAATTTATGTTGGTATTAAACACTGGGATGAGGACACATGTCTGCCGAACTTGAAATAAGCTCAACAACTAAGACAATGATCTGTTCCAGGAAAAGACCAACAAATCACATGGTCCATATCTGACCCCAGCATCTGAGAAGTGAGTTCGCGTTAACTACTGGTTTAACTCAAGGCTACAATAAAATGCTACTGGAGCCTAAAAATAAAGAGAGAGGCTTTGTTTATTTAAAACCAAAATGATAGAATTCAGCACAATTCAACATCATACCTAGCATAACTAAACATTTGCGGAGACATCTTAAAGCATGCTGAGAAGCAACAGGAGTCTTCCAGGTCAGGCATTTCTATCCACATTAAACACACTTGAAACCAAATTTCCAGAGCGTTTTACAGCTGTGACAGTTACTGCTGGTGAATCTAGTGGCAGCAGTCTCAGTTATTCTACTTTATTACCCTGCCCTTTTTACCACTTCGGCAAAAGTAGATGAAAGATGATCCGCTGGCATAGCTGATGTGAGTACCTAGGTTTCCTTACCGTCCTCAGCTACAGGATAGTAACTCCAGCAGAAAAGCACAGCAGCTAAGGCACGTATGAGCATCTGAGTCTTTAAATTCAACTCACTGTCTTGCAAGATGCAAAAGTCATGTCTCTCCTGGGCTAACATACTGTCAATCAGGGTAGGAGAGGAGAGGAAGATGTAGTTGATACCCTCTCAGCCTTATCCATCCAGAACAACAGAAATTAAGAATAGAGTAAGCTCTATCTCCTCCCTGTTGGTTAAAGTAACAATCTTAAAGTTAATTAATCCTAGATGTTCCAGTATTGTGCATGTAAATGTAGTGTGTTATACTAGCCTCCATGGCTGGTCACATCTGTTCAGGTCACTTACCATAAAGTTTGCTGTGTTTGGCATTGCAAGGTCAGTACCATTTGTGAGCTTATGTAATTTATTTGCCATATGTAAATAAATTGGATTTAACTGTTAATATCTCAGAACTTTATAGTAAGCTTTTTTAACTATGTCAGATGTGCATCCCTGGTTTGCATACAGGACAAGACTTTGTCTTGTGAACCATATAAAGGCTATATTTCCACATGAATTTGCTTAACCAGAGAAGAAAGTAAGAGGTAAAAAATTCAGAGATTAACCAACCTGTATTCACATTCACATCACAGGGATTACAGAATACCTAGTTTTTCCAGCGTAGGGAGACCTGTTACATTATAGAACCACAGATTCAACTCTAGCACGCTGGCAAACATTGAAGAAATAAGATACATGATTTGCTATGTGCATACCAAATGTATCCTCTAATTTGAATTATAAAAAATTTTATATGCTCTGACTATATCTCTTCTCCTTTGTTAATGGATAAAAATAGACAGGCTACGCAACACTTGGTGTGGCCATGCCATATGGACCGTGGAAGTCCCAGGTTCTTTCTCTCTTCTTCTGACTCCTAAACAAGATGCATTTTTTGCACACAGATATTACAGGGGAAAATCAACCAAGATAGCTGTCAAACTGTGACAATGTGCACAAAAAGTGCTTCTGCGTCTCTCTACTTTTAGTCTTCCATGAAGAAAGCCGCGCCAGGAGCTTCGCAAAGGCTGCCCGGCACTCGTTGCGCTAGGAGAGTCCGGGCAGCGGCGCGTCCCAGGTCAGGGCCGACGGGAGGGCCAGCTCCAGGGGAGAGCTGTGCAAACACTCTCTCCGCTCACCACCGGCCAGCAGAGGAAATTGTTGTCAGGAGCAGAAATCAGGCGTACACCAACTGCGGTCGAGGAGAGGTAATGCATGAACAGGAAATCCCTGTCACGCTTCAGGAAAGGTGGGGAAGGGGAAATCGCAGCGTTTCTTCGGTAAACAAAGGCGTACGGGATTGGTACAAGCATGTGGGGTTAACGCCAGGGTGTGCCAAACATAATGCTCCTGAGCCATTTGCAATTTGTCTGGCCAACAAGGTAAAATGCACAGCAGCCACTTCCACCCTCCTTGTCCCTTTAACAAGATGCAAATGGACTGACAGCTTTGAGCAGCTCAGCACTGCCCAAACAAAAGATTCGGCCTCTTAATTAATTAGACAGAACCAAAGTGCCCTGTCTTTTTGGGGTTTTTTTGTTTTTTTTTTTTAAAAACATGGTTCAAGCCAGGAAAAAGAAACACTTCTCAAAATCCAAAATTTAAAGACACGCCTCCCTTCTCCTTCCCCCAACAACCTGCCCCCTTCCGCTGGCAACAAAGTGATGGCAAAACACGATGGCTCAGGGCAAGAGCTCAGGATGAAAAGGCGGATGGCAGCTTTCTGCAGAGCCCTTTCCCCTCAGCTGTAACTATCACCGCAACACTCAGGTCAGCCAGGCAAGAACAACGAAAATAGGAAGTTCTTTCTGTAACCCTTAGGTGGTCAAAACCAACAACATTTGGATTAACGGAAGAGCAAAATGATTGCTTTTATGCCAACAATAGCTTTGATATGGAATATGAAATTCAGATAAGCATCAGGAATATATAGTTAAGACGTATAGCAGTGATGCCCAGTGTCTATAAACACAGCTTTATGACACGCTCTCACTTCTTTAGGAACGCGACGTCCCTTTTTTAAGGCTCAGCTCTGCATCCCAAGCTGAGCCCTTTTGAAGGGTTATTCTCACTTAAAATGTCTAACAGTGAATGTAAAGTTTCATAAAAGGTGCCCTAAGCATCCCTCAATACTTTAAGATATTTCTGAAAAAGAGAGGCATCTTTGGAAGCAAATTTAGATCCCAGAGGTGCTACCTTGTGACAGGGCCTCTCTGTCTCCATTAATTACTGGAGAGCAGTTTTATAGTTGTCACCTTCTGATCTCAGGAGGGTCAATGGTTTATTTCTAAGGATCATGAAAGGTCATTAAGAAAAGTAATGTATCACCAGTAAGGTTAAGCTCACTACACCAAATCACTCATTGGAAAATATTTAAGATGCCACAAACAGAAGGAGATGGAAAACTACTGCTAAGGCAGCTGGGGGCCTGATTTAGGCAGTTCACTTAAATTTACATGGAATAAAAAGAGTCTGTGTCATGAAAAATAGAGGGGGAACATAACGATAATGAGTGGTTATGCACTCAAACACTTTTGTTATAAAAAAAACAAGTTATTTTACACAATAAGCCAGAAAACTAGGTCTCAGGAGGTCACACAATCAGTTAGAATTCCTTGAAACGCTTCCAGACTACCTTCTCCTCCCTTCTCCTTTTCTTAAGGCTCTTAAAATTAATTTCTTGTAACTCCTGATGTGGAAACACTCAGCTACTCATCTGCCAAATCCCACTGATGTTACATGGTAATCTGGATGTTTCCCAGCAAGACGCTGACTATAAGAACAAGTAATTAAAAAAAGTCTTTAACAAAGCATTATACAATAGACCAACCTCCGTGAGCAGGCAAGTATTTCAGAAGTGATCACCATTAAATGACATTCTCTTCTAGCAAGTTTCTGGGGATGCTAGACATTTTTATTGCTTTCCTGGGGAAGGTAGGCAGTTTTAGGCTACAACTTCCAGGTCTTTGCAAACCAAGCACTACTCTGAAGTTGTCCAAGTACTTCAGTTTGAGACCTAAGATCTAAAAGAAGCTATCAAAATAAATTTTTCTGTAAAATATCAGATAAGATTTCCCTTCCTCTTCCCCCCCCCCTCAGTTTTACTCTCTCATCTTTGACTACTCAGCTATTTTTGTCAATCTACATCAATGTGATATTTAGAGAATATTATTAAAAGGACTTGGTTTGGGAATGTGCATAAATCATATATAGACAGAGAGGTTTTCTTCATCGAAATCTGTCCCCCAAGTTTTAAGAGCTCATCTTTGCATTTTCCTGACTTTGCTAGTAAAGTTATGCAAAACATGCAGCTCTTCCACATCATAATTACATCATATTTCTGCAAGAGATCTACCATCTTCTTACCTCTATCAGATTTGTCAAACTTACAGGTTTCCCTGTAAGTTTGCAAGTATTTGGGCCTGAATTAGCGTCCTTCCTCTGAACATTTGTTTCTGATTCTCCAAAGACATTTCCAGGCTTATTGTATTTTATTTTTAACACTTTGAGATCAGCTGTTTTATTTTATCATCCATACTCATGTATGCAACACTCCCCACTATCCTCTGAAAAATCTCATTCGGTCTGTGGTGATCCACTGGTTCATAGCTTCCTTGAACTCTTCTCCACTGACTTTTTTCATGACTCCTGTTTACAATCCATAGCAACTCCTACACTCTGGAACAACACAGGTGCTTCTAAAGGATGGGTGTGGGAATTATCTAATATTCCCTACTCAGCACAGTAGGTGATGCAATATTCTTAGAGAGATATGTTGTACTCTAAAAATATTGTGGTTTGAAGTTAGAGGCATTTTTGAGTCCCCAGCAGAGGAACTACCTCCTACCTAGTTTTGATTAACGTAAAATGCGCAATGAAATTAGCGATGCATAATTAAGTTACAGCTGCTTAAGAAGTTGCCACACAGCAGCTGAGCCACAATATTGCCTCTGAGCTCGATGTTTGACTGCAGGAAATTGGAGGTTGGCTTGTAAAGGACCTGTGGCTGCTCCAGCTGAAGCAGAGACAGATGAAGAGGTTACCTGCTGCTGCCCCTTCAGTGCACGCATCCTTGATCCTGCCTCTCCTTTGCTCACGTCTACCAGCACAGCAAGGCACATTTCCTCACTCTGTCCTGTCCAAACAAGCCATGCTAAAAGCTAACCCAGGTCACAGTTGGGCAAGGGAGTGACTACACTCACTATTATGCTGACAAACTTTACAAGAGAACAAATATCTCATCCTGGCTCGGCTACAGCCAGATACATCTGCTAGTCACACATCTGTCTGCAGCTCCAAATGGCCTTGATTTGCATTTGTTGCAGACAAAAATCACTCACAAACAACACACACTAACTCAACAAGCCTAAAAAACATCCACATAACTCCCTTTAGTCTCTTGGGATAATTCTGTCTTAGAGTTTGGGGGCTGACAAATGACCATCTTAGCAAACAGCTCTGACAACTTATGGCGTTCCCAATCCCTTCCTGATTTCCCCCACATCCATCACCTTTCTTGTAGGGTTATTTGGTTGGGTCTTTTTAAAGAACTTTTCACCACAGATTATAGTTCCCCAAACAATCAGTTCAACAACATATGTATGCACCTTGGCATTTAAAATCTATTAGCTTAATTTAAAACCACTTCTCCTTGCAGTTTAAACAAAGCCACCACAGCATGCACCAACAGGAGAAAGTGCAGCAGAAGCAGGGGGACCTTCCCAGCTGTAGCAAGGCAGGACACTTTGAAGGAGACCATTTGCCTGTCCAGAGGAGGGATTCAAGGACAGAGGAAAAAAACCAGTTCAACGCTGGTCTATGAGACAGTGCCTAGTTCAACCATTGCTGCCATGTTCAAGGCAGAAATTAATTCACAAGCTTCTATAGCAAGTCAGGTAACAGTGATCACTTGTGGACTTAAATAATTATGAAGCTGTGCCACGCTACTCTGACAGAACATTAATACTCGAGCTGCCACAAGAACATTACCAGGACGAAAACCTGAGAAACCTATAATGAAAAGGAAACATTATGCCTTGGTGACAAAAATATAGTAATTCGTGTTAAACGGCTGCCGAAAGTGAGGGTTTTTTCCTAGCCACGTCTAATTTATACTTATCAACACAAGCACCGTTCCATAATCAATGGTTTTATTATTCTGAAAAGCAAAAGCCAACTCCAAATGTTACATTAACATGATAGACACAGGGCCAGCCGCAGGGAGATTAGGTACAAATTGTTCACAGATGTATTTTTTTAATTATTATTATTGGCTATGTTCCACAGCACAGGGGGAGGGGAAGGAGGAGGAAAGGAGGAGGGAGGAGGAGGGAATCAAACTTACTGGTTGACCTCCCCACCATCTGTGATTGAATTTCTCTCGCCCTCGAAGACTGAAGCTGGCATCGAACACTGGGTCATACATCGAATTGCCAACGATTCCATGTGATTCAGGATAGAGTCCCTTTGTGCAAAAGTAGATTAATTAGTAAAAAACCTAATGCACATAAATCCAGTTCTCCATAGCTATCCACAAATACCACTAAATTATTTTAAATTGAGTATCCTTGTAACTGCACACCAGAAGAGACTTTCATTTTAAGACAGGCACATTTAAAACTGCCTGTAGTAATTAAAGCAGTAGGAGATGATTGAATTGTGTTACGAAGCACAAAAACTGCTGTTACTGGATACTTTAAGGTATTTCCACACTGGATAAAAGTTAGTTTGGGGCCATCTAAAATAAGCAAAAACTTATGAAAAGACGACTGATTTGAACTTTCAGTTCCTCTTTATGAATACCCTTTATGAAACAGTAATTCATTCTTCGGTGGCAAGAGTAACACTTGGCATTTCCATTTTATAATGTTTTATCTTCACCAGTGCCTCTGAGATAAGTGTTATTCCCAAGAAGAAACTGAGGCAAATCACGCAGAGCCATGGCTTTCCTCTATTCCCCTAGCAGTAAAGGGGATTTAAGAGGTTTCTTCTCTTCTCCCTGTCTCAGCCCTCTCAGCCCACTCCCATCCCCAGGTATTTATTTCTCCATTCCCTTTCTCTTCCCAATTAATGTTTGGGCAGAGGCTGCAGCCTACAGGGAAGAACAAAAAGAAAAAAAAAAAAAAGGGAAAAAACGCAGCTGTAGGTCAGGAAGGATGGGAACCCCTTGACCCAGCTTCAGAAGCACTGTCACTGCCACGCAGGAGCGTCTCGCAGCCCCAGCGGGGACAGACTGACTGCCAGCATCACCGCCAGGCTATGGAGGTGGCCGTTCATTTTATAGCAGAGCCAGCACGGCACCCAGACATGCTCAGCAGCTGTAAATTGTGAAGTCGGCTGTTAAATCAGCCCCACTGACTTCAGTTGCTCCAGCGAAGGAACAACTGCTGGTTGTATTCTCGTGGTAGGATTTCTTTTTCTCCCCCCCCTAGAAAAAACTGTGACCTATAATTACACAGCAGTACAAACAACACCAGAAGCAGGCATAAGAAAGCACAGGAAAGCTGCAACACAGTGTATAATGGTGAGATACACTTTATCTGAGAACTCCAAAATGTTCAGGAGAATACTTAACCTAACGGACAGTGGAAGAGGAGGGACAGCCAAGCAGTTCTAATAAAAAATTTTGCCTCCCACAGCCCGCATTTCTAGTGAAGTGCAACATTTTATCATCAAAAAAAATCCTTCCCAGAGACTTACGGTGGCAAGGGTGTACAAGTTGGGGAAGGTTTTGGTAGGGTATACAGGTCTCATATAAGGAGAATGTGTTCCACAAGATCCTGAAAAAGTCAATAGTGAATGCAAACATTAGAAAGCGAAGCCAGCATACACAGAAAACAAAAATAAAAGATGTCATTTGCTTTCAGCAGAAGCAAACTGCAGAAACTGGTTAAATTTTAACTGATTCAAATGAACAGTCTGCACCATAACAGTGGCCAGCCTTCCCACAGGACAAGGCACTCATTCACTCTTTGCACTTCACAAAACCCAGCTAAAATAATAATGCAGCCGCAGGACTACGAAACTGTCCATACACAGTTACCCCTTTTGTATTAGCCTCCTTCCAGATCCATAGTCATTAGAAGTATCTTGCTATTAGGTAAATCAGCAGGAGAAAACACAGGCTAATTTTAAGTGACAAATATACCAGAGCTTCAGTTTCACAATGGGCTTTGGCTACAGCTGTCCTGATGGCTACACAAATACAAGGGCCAGCACATACACAGGGAAAACACTGTTTAAGAGTATGGGCACCCACACAAACTACCACACCATAGTGGGAAGCTCAGCAGATACCCAGCGTGTCCAGCACTCCACAAAACCTCCAGAGTGCTGCTCCCTGGCGATGAACACGGGGCTGCTCCCTGCTGGAGCATGCCCCCGGCCCGTTAGCACACACCAGCTGACTCGCTGCAGCTTCAGGACCTGCTTACCCTTAGCTTTAACATTTCTGACTCAAAGGGAAAATTTTGTGGCACCTCCCAACCAGCCTATAAAAGTGCACGATATATATCACATACTGGGGATTCATTTCTTTGTTGACTAAGAATCAACTTCACTTGCCTGAGCAGCATTCCCAAAGGAAGCAGCTCTCTTCCCGCTCCTTGACTGCCCTGTTCTGCTTTACCCAAGGTGTCTGCTGGTTTGAAGAGCCATCTAAAACCAAAGGGGACTTCTGCTATTTCACTTACATGGAAGGAAGATTTAATCTTTGTCAGACCTTTGAGTCTGAAGGGCCCTGCATTTGGCCGAGCCCTTCTACCAGCCAGCACCAAGCTGACTTTTTCCTCAATAAACAATGAAAACAATTGGACTGCAAGAGACTGTCTTTTCTTCATTGCAACAAAATAGATGTACTTACTCAGTTTTTCAATATTGGGCATGACCTTGCTCCCTTTCTTCATGTATGATGCACGGAAACCATCAACAGAGAAAATGATCAAAGGAGGACGAACAAAGCTAAAAGCAAAACCAGCAGGACTGTAAGGCAGCATTTCAAAATGTTTTTTATGTCCACATGCCGAATGAGACCCCTGAGTATTTAAAGTATAGGTATTGCAAGTGCTATATGTCTCTAATTTTTTGCTTATAGAACAGATCGACACAAACTACTAATATTCACATTTAATAGTATCCAGCATTCAGTCATGGTCAGTCAAGAGCCTGAGTTTCAACAAAAAAGACATCCTCCTTGTGCAGCCAGCAGTGTACAGCCAGTAAAGGTAAATACTTACATAAGGGGATGGAGGAAAAAAGAATAGTAAGCACGAGTACCCAGCCTAGCACACAATTTGTTTTTACAAACCTTATGTCTCATAACACCTGGTCTTCACTCCTTAAACAAAAGTCAATGTGGTATTTTACATCTGCTCTATGGGGCAGAACCCATTCTCACATATTAAAGATAACAGTACTCCATATTTTTTTATTATGTTTTTATTACTACTTCTATGAGGAGTTGAGCCCAGTCAGGCATAGATGTGTCCGAGACGCACTTGGGCTTATCCACCAGTCACGCACTGGTGGGTAAGCCATCACTGGAGTCACTCACTGGAGAGGCTGGTGCTCCTGCCTCCTCATCACACGGTCTGAGTTGCAGTGCAGCACGGCACCTTAGCAGGTGCTTAACATCAAGCATAATAGCAAGCCAATTGGTTTAGTAAAATACCTACATTCTTCAAGTTGTTCACAGGTTTGAATATTTCACTAAGTCAAGGCCAAACCCCCTCACTCAGGAAAATAGTACTTAAAAGAAATGGGGGGGGGGCTGAACTACATTCACATGTGGCTCAACCTGAATTCTACCGAAATGAGAAAAACATTTCCACAGACTTAAGGGAGTTTGGTTACCTTCCCCACCCAGAGAAGTGAGGCAGGCAAACTGCTCAGCAGGTGATCAAAGGACAAAGAGTTCAAGCCCACACATCATATACCACTACTCATCCAGAAGTGGAAAGGGGAATGAGTTACAATACGACCAGCCCAATTTTACAGCCAGTGAAACACAGGACAGCAACAAACCCACAGCCATTCGGCAAAGGAACTGCAAGGCCAGCAAAGAAATTCAGCGTTCAAAGGCCCAGGGACTATTTGCCTTGTTAATTTTAATTTGAGGTTGCATGCAAAACACTTACCCTGCTGGACATTCAGGAGTCTTTATTTCTTCACAATCGTCATCTACCCAGTGGGTTTCCCCTACCAGGGAAATCGCAGAGTTAAAAAAATTATATATGGACACAGCTACAGGTTTTGCAAAAGATTTCAAAAAAAGAAGTCTAGCTCCAGTTAGTGGACCATCTTGTCATACTTCCTGTGAATAATGATGAGGTCTCTTCTACAGAGCTGAAGAACTGACCAGATTATATTCTATTCAACAAGAATACCCAGACTAGCGCTGCTAGAAGTAGGTCTTAAAACTGGAGTCAAAAGTATCCTTTTAGTTGCAGGAGACAGTGGTAAAGCTTTAGACACAGTGGTCTTTTTTTTTTGATCCATCAAAAAGGGCAGTGCTGCTTCTGGCTGTGAATTCCTACCCTCCTTCCCACCAGCTCTGATGTCTCCATGAGCTCATTCAGCTGGCTAAAGTCACAAAACAAAACTCATTCTGGGGAAGAAAAACAACCCTAAATAGTTTCCAGCTGGTTTAGTGTGCTGATCAGCTCATGGAAGGATCAGGTGAGACCCAGACACAGCTAAAAAAGCATCAATACTCCTTCAGAGTAAAATTATTTTAAATTATGTTATGTAATCAACTATTTTAGCAATTTTTTTTTTTTGCTACTGAATGCTGACTATAGAGCAGATAATGACCTGCACTTTTCACAGGTCAACTGGAAAGCAAATTATTCACTAACGAGGCTCACTTCCTGAACCTGGCACTATTAAAGGAATTACAGTTCAATTAAAAGGGCAAAACAGAAAGCACCATAGAAAAGAGCTGCAGGAAATGTGTCCTGCAGCAATTCTAATTGACCATGACAGGAGGTGGAGGGAAGATTTCCAAGAAAAAAACACTATCCTTAGATAGGCAAAGGCATGAATAAAGAGGAAACACTGTTCTCACATAAGGCTTATTCCTGTCAGACTGCCAGGGTCATTGAGATCATTTGTTATTAGCCAATTAAACAAAGATTATGTACATTAAAGCAGGAGACATGTAAATTCCTCTGACTTGACCCTTGTAAGAGGGAGTGCACAAAAAAAGCAGGAACTGAGAACTATACCAGTATTTGAGCAGTTTCAGCCTTGTGTTTTTTTGCAGAGGGGAAGAATGCAGTCTACTGGGACTGGCTGGAAGATGCATATTTAATTTTGATTCCCAATAATAAAACTCAAGTAAAGAAAAGCCCATTTTCAGTGCATCGATCTGGACTATTACCATCTTCTGAATTTATGCAGTTGGCCAACAGGGGTGTGGAAGACAAAATTTCAAGCCTTATTCCCTCCACCATTACAGCGAATAAATGAAGACTAAGAACTAGCTGAGATCCAGAACTGAGTGTATATAAGGCTTATTACTAAGAACTGGAAGACACATTACATAAGGCAGGACATGTTTCAAAAAAATCAGGGTACAGGATGAAAATTAAGCTTTCATAGCCCATCCACCGCAGGGTGCAGGCCATATTGTGGCCATGGTGTGTCTGGAAGGTGGCACAGCCACCCCTACCATGACACTTGGAGCCTATGCCACCCTTCTAGGGATTACGGCCCTTGTATTCACTCCACTCCTGCCTCAGGAGAAACAAAGCACTCAGGTATTGGGCCAAGTCATTTGAGCAGAAGCTTTTGTGACAGGGGTGGGGAGAGGCCTTTGAGACAGAGATAACATATCTAGTAATGGTCAGTTCTTTCCAAGATGTCAGATATCTCTTTTCTCTGTGATGCAGACAAGTGTATCTGAATACCTTGGTATTCTCCTTTAAGTTCTTCTTTGTCCACCCACCCTTTTCTCCTCCCACCAGTATTTTTGCAGGCAAATACAATGTCTTTCCACCATCAGTGAATTAGAAGTATCCAGCTTTCCTAGTGTTGGAGATCTCATCCATATAGTCTTCCATATATTCTTCCTCCCAAAAATCAGAACAAAATAAGGAGAGGGGATCTCCTTTAGAAGGATACGCTTTACCCATAGGTCTACCTTCTATCAGGTTCAGAAAGACCAAAGACTTACCTTTGCAAATGACTTGGTAATTAGTGCAACAATCTCCTCTACTTAAGCAGTCTTCAGAGCAGTGACAAGCATTATCATCATTCCTGGTTTCTCCACAGCGATCTTTGGTACATTCCCAGCCCCGAGCTAAAATATTCACAGGATAAGCAAGAATGGCAGATTATAATCAAAATAAAAAACTACTCACTCAAGCCATAATGACAACACTCTAGTCCTCGTTAAAGTTGGATCTAAAGTTTATGGCCCTGTTTTAGGGAATTCAAGACCTCTGAAGGAGGCATGTTGACCATAAACAAAAAGGAGCCTTGTGTCCTGCAGATGCAGGAAGGCTCCTCCATCCATATACAAGTGCTTTCAACCCTCAGGTGCTGCACTCCAAGCTCTTCACAAACTGAATGCAAGCAAAGATGTAACTGGTGGAAAAGAAAAGACAAGACGGACTCCTGAAGGATAGGTGGAGCATAAACTAAGAACAATGGTGTTTCTTAGACACTATTCTTTTTCTCCTAATTATTAGAAAGTCCCAATTCAATGCATGGAAAATGGAGAAAGTTGAAAAGGGGCTATATGGCATGCAAACTGGTGCTCTACTTATATCAGTCCCTTGTGCACAAGAGGCAGAAGACGCTTTCTAATACCTTAGCGGGTGAGATTCAGTACGAACCACAAAAAATTATGAGAGCAAAAACTGCTTTCCAAGGAAAAACAGCTGTAAAACACACCAGCCTTTCTCATCTTGCAAATGAAGTCAGGATCCAAGGCCCTGTCTAAGTTAGGGCATTCTATCACGGGTACCAGTTTGCCAGACTTCAGAACAGGTCCTAAGGGTATATGGGTATGCTTTTCCATAAGTCCTGGCCCAAGCAACAGGAAACTTTAAAGATCACTTCAGACAACATGCACCCAGCAAAATATACAATGTACCCCCCCCCACAACCTTCTCCTTACTGTGGGGCTTTGTTTCTATAAATATATAATATCGACAAACTGTAAAAGTGGTAACTGTCTTAATAAGTGCCTGTGGGAGTATACAATAATTTACATGACAGTTCACAGGTATCCATAGAGGTATGTGGATATGGTACGCTGTGGACAGGAGGCTGAGGAACCCCAAGTCTCTCCTTTTGTAGCATTTTCTACTGTGCTGAAAAGCTTCAGAGCCTCACACTTTGTAGCCATTTACACCCAGGGGAAAACAGCATCAGCCTAAAATTCTGAACTTCTTGGCCCAGAACCAGATTAGTTCATAATTTTTTGGTACCAAGCTATTGAAACGATATCGCTACCTACAGAACTGAGGAAGTCAGGACTCTCAAACATGGCACATCCATAGGGCAATTATATTTTTAATCCTCAGACTTCTTTTCTGGCTGTTTAATAGGTGTAATTCTTTGATAAAGCAAGAAAAAGTTTAACAGCAGAAGTAGAGGGCACCTGTGTCAACTCTGACCACTGTACAAACATTCAAGGAGATGGGTACAACTAAGAACTTAAATGCAGTGTGTTAAGAAATAAAACATAACTCATGGCTCTCTTTGAAGTTGTCCTTGCCTATGAGTCATGAAAGAAAAAAAAAGAGAAAAAAAGAACTCTGCTGTATTTCCATTCCCCCGGGTCCACTGAAACGAAGCTGAACGTTTTTACCCATGGGTTATATGCATCCTCACAGCTGGAAATAAGAGTCTGGAGCAATGGTAACAAGCTCAAGTCCATCACCTGCAGCTCGCTTGGAGAGGACCTGCACAGCTGAAACACTCCCAGCTTCAGAGGCGCGTACACGAATAACCACACCACGCGGTCCACAAACCAGCGCTCAAGTACCAAGTTTATCACTTGGGACCAAAAAAAA